TTCGTTGCCTTGTGCGTCGCACATATAGAGACGGTTTACATCAAACTTGGTCTCCACCGTTGCCAATATAGTCCAGTGCGGCATTGGTTTGTTCTTTGGGACACTAACTCAAAAACGAGCTTTACGAACTAGAATGGGCCGCGCTTTGAAGCAGGGGCATGCGTGAATAATAGGAAGTCTCATGCCTTTCACTCTTCATTCTGTTCAGCCATATTGATCTGACGTCAACTCCTTGCTTCCCCTAAGGCCCTAACCAAGAAGTCGACTCTGTCTCTCCAAAAACATCACCCTCGGTCGATCACTCTCCACACTCTGGTTGTTCTCCGCCAAGTTGATATCCCTATCCGTTCGCGTCCTACGCAACGTCCACTTCCGCTTCTTGCCCCCACGTCTTTCCCCTCCATCATCTTCCGCTGCAACGTGTTCATACCACAAATGCACATCATACGCCTTCTTCAGCGTCTGAATCATCAATGCTTCGACAGAGAACCATGCTCGCTCGTGGTACTCGTCGCCTACGAGGCTGATGACTGCGTCGCATTGGACTAGGATCATGGGGAGGGCGGCGACGCCTGAGGAGGGGTTATCTTGGTTTACGCAGGCGAAGTCCTGTTTGTTGCTGCTAGCACTTCATCTCCTTACGGGAAGGAAACGGGAGGGAAAAAAAAAAGGAAACTCACCATCCAGATACACAATCTCTCACTTGCCACCTCAGGATGTCTCTCCAGAAACAGCCGAACGGCATCCGACATTCGTTTGTACTGGGTATTATGCTCGTCATCCGACAACCGCATCCCAGGGTCCTTGTTGATCCATCGGTAGGAAAAGAAGATGATGTACTTCCCCTCCCTCTCCTTCTCGTCTTCCCACATCACCTCCGGCGAGTAAGGCCTTGTCAACCCTTCACAACTCCTCCTCAACCTCCCCCACGTCCTAAACTCCTCACAAGACACATACTTCAACCGATCAAACATCCTCTCCTTATCCGGGTCTTTATCCAGCGCTTCGGCGTAAGCCTGCCGGAGTCGCTGCAGGCAGTTAGGTCCGCGTTCCATTAGGACCGGTCGTAGTTTCTCTTGGAATAACTCCCTGTATCCCTTGCGGAGATGTGCGGCTTTTTGTAGGACCCTCACTCTTTCTTTTGCATCCTCATCGGTTCCTCCGAACTGAGCGCGGAATTGAGTGCGGAGGCCCTGGACTAGAATGCTCTCAGCTTGGGCATCATTGACGAAAACAGCCCAGTCCAGCGCTGAGTAGCCTTGTTCGTCTAGAAGCGAGAGATCGGCGCCTGCTTGGACTACTTCTCGCAAGATCGGTTTTCGGACGAGGGTTGTTTGCACAGCGCAATAGCTGGTGTACAGACGCCGGGCAGGTTCGATCGCGGGTCAGATCGCACGTTGAAGTGCTCTATTGCTTCTTTCCTCCGGCCATTGGCCAGCAGAGCACAGCCATAGAAGAAGTGAGCAAAGGCGACCACTGACGAGTCTTGTTGGCCTGGACTTAGTAATACGGCATCGGGCGCGGCTTGGATTGCTTGCCTTTGGGCGTCGTCCGCGTCGGTCTGGGAACCCTTCATATGGGCGAGCTGGGCCATGGACGAGTAGCATAGGCTTAGGCGTGATAGGCCGATGATTTGCCATGCGCAGAACATTTGTCTTTTGCGGGCGCGGTCGATGTCGGAGACTTTTGTCTCATCAGGTGTGTCGTCGTGCCGGGCTACTTGAGCATCCCATGCTTCGGTGATGGTTTTTGCCAGGTATATTCGCTCGTTTTGTTGTTCGATGGCTGTTTCCAGTAATCGCCTTGCCTCGCTCATTCTTGCATAACGTATTTCATCCTCGAGGCTATCCCTTTTCCGGTTCCTCCCCGGGCCCCCCTCAGCCCAGCCGGATCACCCTGAGCAGAAACAGTTGTAAATCTCTCGATCGCCCTCACTGCCAGCAGAGTGTTCATGTATCCCAAATATCCCACGGCCCTACACAACGGTTTGGACTCCATCACCCCCTCACTTTCCTCAGTCCCTGCCCTCTCCTTGACGATCGCTCTCGCAATTTCCACCATGTTTTCCCACGCTTCCTGGGCTTCCTCCAGCCCTCCCATAAACTGATAGGTAATGGCTAGCTCGCCCCAGATGTATATCCACCTGTTTACTCCTCTTTCTCCCTTGCCTTTCATTTGCGGTTGGTGCTCTCCTTGTCGTATTGTTGGTTCCGGTTCCCGTCCATCATCGTCGTTGTCACCCTCTCCTACATCAACCTCCGAATCCTTCCTCAACTCCTCCCTCATCAGTCTACTTCTAGCCGCATCCAGCTCCCCTAACGCTTCACTTCACAGCCTTCTCGCTTCCTCATACCGACCAAATAACCTGTTGGTCCACCCCAAGTTCGATAGGGCCAAAGCGCGGTAGGAAGGGCGGCCGATGTTCCATGTAGAAGATACACTGCTTAGAGGTATGCCGCGAGCTGGTATGAAGGTTGCGCTTGAAGGCGTGGAAGGGGTAGAGAGCTTGGAAAAGATCTTTGGGTAGGAGTCACAGAGATGAAGCGCTTGCGTAAAAGTCCGCAGGCCAGACTCGTACTCACACCGGCCGATCTGTTGCATGCCGAGGGAGCTGGATTCCGAAGAGTGAGTGCACGGGCGATAGCCGTGACAGACAGACCGCTGTGAAGGATTGCGTAGGTCTAGACGGGGAAAAGGGTAACCCCGCTTGAGAAAACGGACGGGCTTAGGACGCGGAAATTCAATGAAAGAAGATGTGAGGAGATTGCGAATGTTAGACGACGCCCACCAACCAGGACCGGACCCTTTTGCGCGCAGATAACTGTGTCGAATCGAAAGCCCAAGACCACCTCACCCAAGCGCGCCCTCTTCCCCGAGCAACTCCCAAGGTATCATCGTCTGGTCATGTGCTGCTGCATGTATGATGTTCGCCACCAGGGGCAGGCTCGGTCCGCACACACTTCCTCAAAGCGTTAAGGAAGAGGGGAAGAAGGGCTGAAGCGTACATGCGTTTGGCACAGTGCAGTGTAGCATGGAACGTTTGGCCCCCACTGTTGGGTTGTTGGAGGATAGGATCAGGAGGAAGAATGACCATTAAATGCCCTGGATTGGATCTAGATGCCTATGTTAGCGTCGAGCTGCTCAGAAGGAGAATCAGAGGTCATTGTGTAAGTATCGGTGGCCCCGTGTAGATTGTAAAAGACGTCTACGCGATACCTACCGACCTATAGTTAATGTAGCTAACTCTACTGTCTGTTCCTGAAAAATCTCAACTCATCATGCATTACTCACTAACCACGAAATCCAGTCCTCACATCCTTCCATCCTACAAAGACCAAAGCCAAGCACCAAACACCTCGCTAGCCAGTTTCCCACAACCCTCGTGCCCTCTCCAATGAGTCCAATGCCCGTTGACTTTCATGTTCACGTCTGTTTCTCTAAAACTCCTCATCCGCATCACTCCCAGTCCACTCCGCCGTCCCACTGGCGCTAGCACTTCCACTGGCACCACCACTTCCACCACCACTTCCACCGTCAAACGACGACATAGAATGCTCATTCCTTCTCGGTCCAGATCCAGGAAGAAGCATATCCGTTTCCCACTTGGACAAGTCTCCCAGACCTTGCCACGCTCCATTCTGCTTCAAACGGGTTTGACGGCCTTGTGCTGGACCTCGTGCTGGTTCGTGAATTGAGACAGGGTTGTTATCGGCTATGCAACCGTTGCGCTCGCAGAAGGCGATGATTTGTGCCCATTCTGTTCCTTCTTCTCCTCCTGTTGTTCCCGTGCCTGATGTGTACTTTTCTTTCCCTTTCCTCATATCGCTGGAGGCACCATCCTCCTCCTCGCGGATATTATTCTCCCATTGAGCGCCGTCGTCTTTTGAGTCCGAGTCGTCGTTGTCGTCATCGTCGCCGTCCTCATCGTCATCAGAGCCATCCTCCTCCACCTCCTCATCAGGCATCATAACCTCCCTACTCCCCAGCACGATAAGTCCGAACTTGGCTCTTGTTAATGCAACATTGAGTTTATTCCTTATGCCACCGCCCGCACCACTGCCCTCATCCCCTACCCCCACTCCTTTCTGCCCATCAATCCGGCCCGGCAAAACCCCCCACCCCAACCCCCGATCCCTCTCCACAAACCTTTTTCTGGATCTCGTCACACAAAGAATAACAACCCCATGCTCCAGCCCCTGAAACGCTTCCGTCGGACCAACATTAACCTCCCACATGCCTCCGTACTGATCACTTCTTATCAAACTTCTTATCAGTCTAACCTGCGCCTTGAACGGAGACATGATACATATCTCTTTTTGCTTAACCAATCCCGACCGGAACAGCGATAGCGCGTATTGACACGCTAAGTGCGCTTCGCCGACATTAAACCAGCCTCCTGTAGTTGAGCTGCTGGAGGAGGGACCGGAAGAGGGTGAGGGCGCTTCCAAGTCATCGGGTGAGGGATTGTCGTGGTACAGTATAGGCCAGCGACGACCGCGCCAGCCTGTCCAGGACGATAGTCTGTTACGTTCGGCGTGGTCGGCTTCGGCAACTAGAGTGTCGAAGTAGAAGAGCTTGGAAGGCATTGCCAATATCGCGGGGTGTGAGCGGTAGTTCCTTATCAAGTTTGTGAAGGGGGGACGTAAGATGGGGAGTAAGTCAGGATGGAGTTGGTATTGCTGCCTTGGCGGCTGGGCGTCTTTCGCCAAGCGACGGGCGAGGGGGTGGTTAGAGTAGACGGGCCGTTTGAAGAGGCGGGCGAAGAGGGATTGTTGGAGAGGGGTTGAAGGACAGGAGGTGCGTGGGTTGAGTTGTTGTTCATCGCCGGCCATTATTACTAGTGGGGTGAATACCGGTTCGGGGCCTTTGAGAGGGGGCGAGACGACGTGAAGCGGGATCAAAGCTTCGGGCTCCATTGCTTGGGCGGCTTCGTCAATTAGGAGAGCCCCCCAGTGTAGACGGCTTTTCGTGGGGGGTGGCAGGGTGGGGTGGATCTGTTGTTGCAACGTGGAGGAGACGGTGTAGAGGTCCGAGTTCGTCAAGCGGGCATACATGAGCATGGAGGCGTCCCGGCAGGAGGTGACGATAATGCGATAGGACATGAGTTGGGCGAAGGGAGGTAAAGCAAAGACGTCGTTTTGGATGTAGCAGTAAGGGAGGAGATTTCCCAAAACCTCTCGTGAGTCGCGGGTAGGTCGGTTGAGACGGAGAAGTTCAGTGCGGTTCATGGACTTGGAAAGACGATCGGCCAAAGTGTCGGCTGCTGGTTCTGATGGGGCGCAAACGAGAATGTGACTGCAATCAGGGACGTTGCGGACCAGCTGGAGGGCGATTTCGATCATGGTCTTGGTCTTGCCTGTTCCGGGCGGACCGGAGATGAGATAGGGCATGGTGCCGTAGTTCTGGCAAAGGACAGAGTCGACTGCGATACGTTGTTCGTAGTTTAAGGATTCGTCGAAACGCGAACTGTTGTAGTGTTCTAGCCAGTTGACGATGTTGGTTTGGGAATTGCAGTCTGCTTCCGTGGGGAACAACATGGACTGTTTCCAGTACACGTTGGTAGTGGACAGGCCATCTGTCCTGGGTTTTGCGGTGCCGTTTCTAGTAACCTCGTCGATGAAGGAATCCAGGGCATCAAAGGCATTCTTAAGGACTTGTTCCGCCAGATCCAGCGACTCGGTGATATGTGGGAGCACGTCCATCATGGGCGTGTATCGGGTCATTGGCACGAAGAACTGAACGTTGAACTTAGCAACGAACTCGGTCGGCCAAGGCGGTATCATGGTAGGAGTAATAACTTCGGCAGTGTGATGGCTGATTCCGCCTACTCTTAGGACGACGGTCTCTGTTGCCATAACCACTGCCGAGACCCGGGCGTTGTAGATGTGTCCGGTCCAGGGGAAGATGGATTGCAAGTGCCCATCAGCGCTGAACCTCAACTGGCGCAGCTGCACCTCATCTTCCACTTCAACGTTCGGAGTGTTCTCGCGAAGCCCGGGGACCGTGAGGGTCACCGTCGGCTCATCTAGGCTTCCCGGTCTAGCGAGCTTCAGTATGCATGTGTGGCCGTAGAGGCAGTAAGAGGCATTCTCGTTCCTTTGATAGCTCAGCTCGACCTCTATTAGAGAACGAAAATACTTTTCGTAATGCTGGGGCGAAAGAAAGGGAGTCTCGGAAGGATGGCCGGCTGGCTTGGGCTGTGGAGGAGTGGGCAGAAGATCTGTAGGCAAGGCCCCAGAAAGGTACTGGAGGTAATCGACGAATGTCCTTGGAAAGGTGTCGAGAACGGTGCCTTGTAACTGGTTGACTTTCTTGAGGGATGTTGGCACGAAGGATGGTGCGTAAACGTCGAAGCCCCGAGCGTAGTGTTCATCGGCATCAAAGGCTGGACCGGTCGACCCTGGCGGCGGGGGGATCCAAAGGACTTGTGCGACCTTTGCTTTTGCTTTTGCCGACGTTTTGGGTTTCGGGGCTCCATCCTTGAATTTGCCCTTGACGCTTTGGCCGACGATGTTGGTGGGTGTCGTTGGTTTAGAGGTGGGCGTAGGGACAGCAGGGCGCTCTTCTGTTCCTGTATCGGGATTGACGATGCGCAGTGCCTTGGACTGTTTCGGTGGGAGGGTGAAGAAAGACATGTTGGGTATGCAACTGAGATATTGTCAGTCCAGTGATTGGAAATTTTACACGCCTCTGGGACCGAAGTGAAGGGGTGTCCCGAAGACATTCATGTTTGCGAGAAGAGACCGTGACGAAGTGGTGGCCTGAAGGGAAGAAAGCAACCTCAACTTAGGCTCGGGTCAACACGCTGAACGAGAGAATAAACTCACCCTAATCTTGAAGTTACTGTCAAGATATCCGTGCCGTGATGAGACGACGGCCGACCTTCGAATCGCGATGAGATGCCGAGGTCCAGCGTCAGCGTGTCCAGGTACGCGATTATCGCGATGGCTTCACGGACGTCTCAGCGAGCAATATAGAAATAGGGAGTCAACAGGAAATCGCATTGAAGCATGGGTTGCCGTCGTCGTCGACCGGGACCCAGCTTATAACAAGAAGTTGTGAAGTTGGAGTTGAAGATTGGGCCAAAGTTTGGGGAGATCCAGGCATTGATGCAGGGCAACATTGGATCCAATGAAACGCAACTGCCTGCCGCCCGCGCAGCTCATTGCAGCCTAACAATTTCGTGTAACGGGCGCCCCCCGCTCACTAACGATTGGCTGTTTAGTGTCCGTGGCAGGCCTCCCACATGGCCGAGCCGTTCCGCTGGAATGACGGGATACGCGCTGATGTTAGTACGCAAACGGGCCTGAAACTTCCCGCCCGTTCACCTCCATTTAATCATGCCACATCATCCACATCGGGATGAAAAGTCTCGAGGTTGTCACGGCATCATATCTTCGTTTTATCCTGTTCATTTAATCCCAAAACGCCTCAATCATGGTATCTCTAACTTCAAGAACGCTCAAACAGATAACACGCTCAAACACGCTCCCTAACATGCTCATAACCGCTCAGCAAGTGTCTCCAAAAACCTGATCTCCTCCGGCCTCAGATTAAGGCCCTCAGGAATCTCCACGCCTCCCCTCATAATAACGACCCTCAGCCCACCATCCTGCTTCTTCTTCTTCCTTATCCTCCCCTCACTATCCTCCCCATCATCATCATCATCATCATCCCCCGATTCCGTCAACGTCCCACCGCTTTGCGCCTCGATATCCACATCTCCCTCTCCATCTCCTTCCCTGAGTCGTTCATCACTCCTCGCTCCCCTCTCCAATCCACCGCCCGACTCCGAGCTCGACCCGGCTTTGCCTACCCCCTTCTCCCCCTCCTTCTCACTCACCCCCTCCCCCTGTCCCTCCCCCTTCTTCCCCGACCAAAACCCCCCCGTCTTCTCAGGACTCCACCAATAAAAAGGAAACCTCCTCCTAATATTATTCACCAACAACGCACAAACCAGCATAATCACACATCCCAACATTACCGGCGCCATGAGGAACCATCCCAACCCCTGGACTTTATCATCAAGTACAGCCATCAGCGCCGTGGCTCCAGCGGGTGGATGCACAGTTCCTGTGAGCGCCATGACCGCCGTTGCTGAGGCGCAGGCTAAGGAAGCGCCCAGCCATCGGATGGATTCGAAATTGGGGGAGAGGGCGAAGAGTTTGGCGATGGAGATGCCGACTATGCAAGATAAAAGCTGGCCGAGGATGGCGTTGCGGGGTTGGGAGAGGGGGATTCTATGGCGTAGAAATCTAGGACTGCTGCTGCGCCCTGTTTTCGGTGTGGGTTAGCACTTGTTTTTGATGGTAGGGGGTTTTGGGTTGTTGGTTTGGATGCTCCGATGGGGTGCATGGGATGGCAGAGAAAATCCGGGGATGGGATGGCTTGCGATGGGACGTAGGGTGTTGACGTAGTGCAAATCCGGGGGCGGGCCAGGCGGGATGTGACGCCACCATCCACCATCGGTGCTTGTCACCCCATCATTGCCATCGCCCATCGACCATCACCGCCCATCACCACACCACATCACCACCAACCCGTGATCAACTGAATCCCATCATCCACGTCCACTTGGCTTGTTCCCAACATTTCCCAACACCTCCCAACCCATCCCCACCTAACACAAAAAACATGAAGAAGAAAATCAAAACTTACGAAACTCCCCACAACAACCGGCACCCCCCTCCCCCCAAACCCCTCGTAATGTTCCCCCACCGCTCCAATAATCGCCAAAGTAACGAAAATGCCCACAAACGCAAAGAAGATGATTGCAATATTCCCCGGCGGTTTTTTCGCTGGTCGTTTCGGATTAAGATCTCGATATCCCAAGAAATAAGCGATGGGTGTTGGGAAGTGAGGTAATACAGAGGCTGGGATGAAGGGGTTGATGAAGCGGTCGATGTCTAGGTGCCAGGTTGTTGGGCGGTTGAGGGACCATGGTGGGGCCATGGTAGGGTTGAATTATGGTGGTTTTGGTTCGGAAGTGAAATGGGTCGGGTTGGATTGGCGGTTCGGACTTCGGATGCGAGTTTGTGGAATTTGGATTCGGTCTCGGGGTGGAGTTGCGGCGCCGGGGTGCGGAAGTATGCTGCCGAGGTGGAACTCCGGGATGGGAGATTCCGGGGCGATGGATTCGGCGGTAGTGGTGTCGTGTGGAACTCCGTCTCGGTATCGCAGGCCGAAAGGTGGAACTCGAAAGTCGGTGTGAACCCGGATGTGAAACGGGAGATTCGGAATGGGAGTAGTACGATGTATACGGTGTGTTCCGGCGTGAAACTCAATAGGTACCGGGACTCGGTAGCGGTATCGGAGTACCTATGAATCAGTGTGTGCCGGAGCTGTTATCTGTATGTGCCGTAAAACCGCTGTGCGCCGTTGCTGTTGCCGAAATGTCGAAAACGAAAAACAGAACAAAAGCAGGAAGACAAGTTGAAAGAACAGGCGCAACACGTTATTATAAGTCCCTTGACTTTGCCTTTATCCCCCGGGCCGTTGACCGCTAACCCAAACCTTGCTTTCCGAGTTCCCGTCAGGTCCAACACGCAATAGTCTCGGAGTGTTTTGTTTTTGTTTTCTTCAGTCACGATCCAATTCGATGACGGGTCAACAGTCCGGTCTTCCCGATCTGCCCGGTCAATAGCGTTATGGCGCAATAGTGCAAAAACAAAAAAAACAAAAAAACAAAAAAAACAAAAAAACACACCGAACTGGAAGCGAACGTGTGTGGTCAAAATAAGGTGTCTCGGTGTGTTCCCATGATCTCATCCGATGGGTCCTGCTGTGGGAACGGATCCACTGAACTTATAGCGACAGCGGAAATGTGTCCGTCAGTGTCCGCTAAAACCAGGCACTGAATGGCGCTGAGAGGTCGCTGTTGGGACTTGGGAGAGGGCCGGGGGGTGCACGAGCTAAGCGGATGAGTCCAATGCCAGGCGAGGAAGGTGACGGGAATGAACAAAAAGATCGTGGGAGGCAAAACGATGATCCTTTAACAGTGACTAATAACCGACGATGACAAGGTGTTATGGATCGGGGTCGGGATCTCGGTGATCGGAGAATGGGATGAAGGAAGAAAGAAAGAAAGAAAAAAAACTAATGTGGAGTCTTGTTGTCTATTATAAATGTCAAGAACCCTGGTGTGGACGAACTAAAGAAGGAAAAACTACAGCAACAGAAAAGCAGCAAACCGACTAAAGAAATGGCGTCTTCATGACTGACCCCTTCCCATCCGTATCAAAAGCCAAGAAACTCAAATACATTAACAGCAACCGCAACTGAGCCAAACATCGCCAAAGCATGGCCCACAGTGTCGGATACGTCCCCGTTCATTCGGCGACGACAAAGACAAAGACGCAGACTCAAGGGGAAAAAAAACAAGCGACATATGAAAGTGACGCTGTGACTAAAACATTCAAAACCTCCAAGGATTACCTTAACCAACCGCGAAAGAAGATGCAGCCTCAATCCAAGTTGACTTGCCGTGTCTGTTGTTCTCATGTTCTCAAACAGAGCAAACGGTGAGCAAGAAACGCCCAGCCCAGGCGTCAGATTTGCTAACAGAAACTCCGAAAAGGGCTTAGCGGCCGCGTTTCCCTTGATTAATCATGTCCGAATGTCCGTGCTACCGGCCACCACCCGGTTCGGTCCTGCGCGGCCATCTCCGCGGAGCTTCCCGCCCGGTCATCGGTTCCTCACTAACCCGCTTACCGATGGCTAGGCTGTGTGCTCTTTCGATCGCTTTCCCAGCCATAGATGATGGCCAGGAGCCTCTTGAACGAATGATCCGTATTTGCACCCGCCTTCAATAGGATACATATTATCTAGGTGCCCAGCTCTTTCGTCACCGGAAACATTGCGAGATGTAGGCCGGCTTCCAAGGGTCTTTGACGATCGAATGGCGCGTCAACATCCGCGCCCAACTCCAGGAGCAGCTTCGTTATTTCGAGCATTTTCGCCTGGTCCGCGCGCTTTTTGTAGGTGAGAGCCATGATAATCAGAGACTTACTGCGCATGTTGGCTCCTCTGCTGGCCAAGTACCGAATACCATCCATACCATAACGTTCGACCGTCATCAGGATCGGCGTTTGGCCCTTGTTGTTGACAAGGTCTATATCGGCGCCCAAATCGAGTAGTACATCCAACTCCGGCGAGTTAGCCTTCATGCACATCTTGTAACCGTGTTCCACGGCGTGTAGGAGAGGTGGCCGCCCTTCATACCCAACGCGGTTCGGATCGGCACACTGGCTGAGCAAAAAGCCAACAATATCGTTCCTACCGAAGACCACGGCCTGGGATAAAGGTGTCGACCCGTTCAGCTCTCGACTACTACATTCGAGGTCCGCACCGGCCTCGAAAAGCTGCTGCAAGAACTTTACATCCCTATGCCCAGATGCTGATACCAATGACCAATCTAGGTAGTCAGCGTTGACCGGTCCTGCTTGGATAAGTGCTAGCGCAACACAGAAGCAGCTTGGATCATGGTAACTCGGCCTTTGCCCCGAGAGTTCCAGCAACATTTGTCTTTTCGATTCCTCGCTTAAGCGCTCAATAAAGGCATCGAGCAAGATTCTCATGGCGTTATACTGACCGCAGAACAAGGCAGTCTTCCACAACATAAAGACAATCTCAGATTCGACTATTTCAGAACGATATTTGTCCAAAAGAAATCGAAAGATATCCTCACAACGATCCGATACCGCTGCGTGAAAAGTCATATCATAAGGTGTAGCTCCTTTATCGATGAGGAACTTGACCATAGTCATATGGCCTCCATGGGCAGCGAAGCAAAGAGCATTTGAATAATCGTTATGGTGATAAACAAGCCCTCTCTCACAAAGCAACTTGGCAATGGCCAAATTTCCATTCCGAGCCGCCCAGGAAAGAGGAGAATCAGGATGCAAAACTTGAAGGTAACCCTCAGCAGCGGGCAAGTGGGCCAAGTCCGCAAGCATGTTGTCTGATCCGTTTATCAACATCTGAAAGATGTCTTCATAGTTTCCTCGGGCCGCTTCCTCGACCAGCGTGCTTCTTATAGCGCCAAAATTTGGTATAGTTGCGTGTAAGCCGGTCATGGTCGCATATGAAGCAGCTTTGTCCCAAAGAACTTCGAGGAGAATTTTTAGCCCATGCCTTACTGAAAGGTGTAGAACGGTAGGTCCACAAAGGGAGCGATTTTTAACCCCACTCTCAATCAAGTCGACTTCAGTTAGTCTATTTTCCATCTCAATGAAGATCTCCGATGTCCACAACTCAAAGGGCCAACTCGTCTCAATGATGGAACGCTCGTGAGAACACGCCTGTTTGGCATGCCCAATCCAATACGATGCCGCATAGCCGAGCATGGGAAAGGACTTTACCAATGGACACCGCAACTCGTTCCTAATCTTCTCTGAGGTTGAATGATTAGGAATAAAAGGGCGCAGCATATCTGGGCCCGTGAATTGTGTCCAGGTGTTCCTTCTCGTGCTGTCAGCTGCATGGTATTCAACCACCTCCTTCATTGTCATTAGGTACAGACAGGCCTTGGTCAAGCGGATGTTTGCCACTGCAATTGCTTGTTCGGGTGTTGAAGACATTTTATCCAGCGCCTCGAGACCTTGGTTGATAAAGAAGTCCTTGACCGGCTGATGGATAAATTGGGCGGTATAACATTTCTCAACTATGGGAGTGGGGCTTTCGTCACTCCAAGTCAAAGGAGGGATGACCAACGGATGGTTGGACCAGTCTGATAAGGTCACATCGACAAGACCACAACTCAGAGTTTGGATTTGCCGCTTAACATCATCGAGGCTTTTCACATACTTCTTGGACTGTCGGCATTCCTGTATAGACCTTTGAGGGCACTCAGGATCAAACGTCAAAGACCATTGTAACTCATCCAGCCTCAGAGGCCGGGTTGCGAAGCATACCCATTGTGTCAACCACAAAGAGTCCGGACCCATGCCTCGCAATACCTCCTGGTAGAGGGCTTCAAGAGTCTTTGGAATAGCGCGTATTTCAGCCTCCATTTTTTTGAGTCCAGCACCCTCACAGTGAAGCTTCAGCACCCGGGCCACAACCAAGGAAGCCCATAGGAATACGCCATTTGCATTTTCCTTGATAAGATTGGGTATACGAGATGACGATATGTCTGATGTCGTGATGTCGGAAAGTTTTGTTTCGACGAAGGTAGCGATGTCTTTTCCATTCTCTTTCTCAAGGTTGATTTCCATAACGTCATGTTCCTCGTTGATGATGGGATAATACCGGCAAGAAAAGCAGAGACGAAACTGGGATATGGGATGCTCCCCAAAATTTGTAATCCCATTACCACTGCCGCTGTTGGAACACAGTTCGTTCAGGATCGATTTGAACGTCTGGACAACGCTGACCGTGGACTCCTCGCCCAATTCGTCCAACGCGTCGATGTAAACCCATACCGGACGTCGTGCTATAAGTGGAAGAAGACAAGACTGAAAATTCTTCACCAGCTCTCTTTCGTGCCATTGCCAGGCCTTAACGGCTTTGCCAAAACTCTGACGTCTTTCATCGAAACTGGCAATCAGATGCGGCAAAGACTGCGGCTCTTGATCAAGGATTTGGTGACGAAGAGCGCGGAAAAGGCCTAATGTTGTCTTCTAAAGTTGGTCACCACGCGCGTGTATGAAGAATGATATGACAAGAGGTGCGTCATTTCCAGCTGCAGCTGTTGCTTTACCATGTTCCAGAGCGTACTTTGTGAGAGTGGACTTTCTGACACCGGGGTTCCCCATAATCCAGAGCAGTCCTTGAGGGGTCTCAAGCCATTTCTTGTACGTAGGGTGTTCAAGGAACCACGCGCAAGTGCCGCCTGCTGCGGGATCAATATCTTGGAATCGATCTCACATGGCTGGAAAAGCGAGTGACTGCAGACAGTCCTGCCATGATGTTGGGGGAGGTGATGGTTCGACTATTGGAGGGGCATCGTCCAGGTGGGGTGGAAGGACTTCTTCCCCAGAGACTGGATGTTCGTCTTCGACTGAGATCACAAGTGGCACTGGATCTGGTATGACGGTCAGTCAACTTGCAAAAAAAGACATGTCTGCTCACAAAACTTGACGACTGACCTTGCAAATTTACAACTTGGCTGACTTCTTTATTCATGAGTGGTACTTGTATCCATTCGGTAAGAACACTCAAAGCCCTTACAAACCCAGTGTCCACATCTGATAAGAACCTGACCATTTCCCGATGATCGGCATGAATTGAGATAGCACTGTATCCATCTCTCGTCGCAGAGGCCTTCGGGACCACCACCAGCTTTCTTGCAACCGTCGGCAACTCCTCAAAGAAGCATTGGACTCGGATTTGGTTGCCACCATGAGCTCTATCACGCAACATTTCGGAAAATCCATTGTTGATATCCTCTAAAAGCTCACTACTCGTGCCCAGTACGTCCAATAGGGCCTCGTTACTAGACTTGAAAAGTCCGAGCAGGGAAACAGGCTTCTGTGCCCCATTCTGCAAACCAAGATCCCCAATGAGGAGTGCCCAAGGGAATTACTCCACGAGTGTTTTCGAAGATTTCGTGATGCTGTTGGTTGCCACTAATGCGCGAGCTGAGAAGGCCTTTCTTGCATACCAGACCACCCAGGCTATGTGTGACGAATATGATGGCGCGTCTTGTCGCTGCAGCATTGCTCCTGGCTCTGTCACCGGCGAGGTCGTTGATCGGATTCTGTGCGTGGTCGCTCAAGCGGTTTGACGAAGCACCTGATCCGCCCCGGGCCATCACATATGCGTCGTAACCGTATGTCAAAATGCGCGCGCTGGGAAGCTTTGGTGGGAGTAGCTTCTTTGGCCATGGTTCTGATTGTCCGAGTGTTGTCCAAGTGCGATTTTGGTCGCCGGCTAGACCGTGGATAAAGCAGATATCAACCGTGGCTTTCTCGCAGCCGTGCCACATTTCGACTCCGTCTGGAAAGGGTGGAGGAGCCAGAGATTTGTCCGCTTTGCTCGTGGGCCTGACACTGGCGGAAGAGAAGATGGAAGGCGAAGAGGACCGTGAAAGTAGAGAGGCGTCGGTAAAACCGCTTGTGACGGTGAGTTGCGAGGCCTTATCGGAATCCGGAGACGCTAAATCGTATGGAGCTTGTTTCGATTGTCGTGAAGAGCGCCATTTTCGTAGGGACACAATCGTCTTTCAACGGCACCATGGTTAACAACGCCACGGGTTTAGTAATATCGACGCTGGGACATGTGGGAGCGTGCTTTTGGAGGAAAATGATATGAACAGGTTGCTGAGGAGGAGAACGAGGCGGGGTAACCTGAGGTGACAAGACGACCAGGGCCATGATCATGTCCAACCCGAACCTCTTGATGGCGTGCTACATGGCGAATGGTCGTAAAGATAAACCACTGGTAAATAGCCCGATCCCGTCGTGTCAGCCAAGCAAGGCCTTAGCAAAACAACTGTGTGTCTTGCCCCAAGCTGGATAGACATGGGCCGAACTCTATAGGAGCTTTTGTCTGGAAACGCCTCTGTTTCGGTCGGCGCATGTATCAATCTGTCCGCTGGTCAGTCTGACTTCTCGAGGAGGGACTGGCACTAAATTTACTATTGCCAAGACGAGCAGAACTTGAACTGCATTGGGCGGCAGCGGATACAGTGCATCACCGTTTGTCGAGGATGAAGTCGCTGACGGATGGCCGCGACATTGGGGCAAGTCGCAAGATGGTCAATTGGCCCAATCAGAGATCGTGGGATCTCAGACAAGGTGGAAGGACAAAATGGATCCGACATGATGGCCAAAGATAGTGTCAAAAGAGGTATCGCGAAAGGAGTGTCAGGCGGGAAGTCGAGGAAGAGAAGTTGAATGGGCACAGTCAAAGAGGAGGAACTTTGTGGGAAGGGAAACCACTCTGAGGGGAAATCGAAGACTCGACGTGATCAGCAGCATGGTCGGGGCCTCTCTCACTTTCTGTGGAAGTCAGAAAAGTCAGAAAGAAGCAACTGAAGTGCAGACATCGTAATTACGGTGTCCGAATCTCTGCACATGATGATGTCTGTTAGTACTCTCGTGGAACTTTGTGGAGATTGTTAACAATGGTCATTGTAGCGCCTTTGGGTGAGGAAATTGCAATTCCGGGTCTGGGCGGAAACCAGATACACTAGCAACTTACTGTGAAGTTACTGACAAAAGTGTTAATGGCCCGTTTCTGTCAGGCATCGGACTCTGAACCAAGCACCTCCAAATGTCTTTGACAATGGAAGCAACATTCCATAACCTGTATGCTCCCTCAAAAACCCGATAGTCAGGCTTTATGCAGTAGATACCTGGTGTATCAAGCAGATCTGAATGGATGCCAGACACCCGCTAACATGAATTTAAAAACGGGCAGCAGTGTTGAATAATCACTGCATGCATTAAGAATATTTCGGGGTACGTTGTCTTCCTGTGAATGCAAAGGGTAAGAATCCTCATCATACATTTATGTTATCTAAGCCCTGCCCACCTATATACTTTCTCCTCTTCTTCTTTCCCTTAATAATCACAAAAACTTTATCTCCACACCAACTTTGTCTGCGCTCGTGTTAACACATGCTCAGTAGACTTCGACAACGAGCAGGACTGTGTTACGCAGGATTACATACCCCGCTATAAACAGCGTGGTTGAATGACCCCACACTCAGCCCACAGCACTTTCCCTGCCAAAGCCAAACAGCTCTTTGCCCCGCATTTCTCGTTCTCCACAGACCAAATCATTTTCCACTTCGTCATCCTCTTTTCCATCGACCGATTTTTGACCATTTCCACCACCGTCGCGACTGTCAGTCCCTCAGAACAGCTGCGACATCGCGGATAAAAACACCGTGACGCATTCAAAACTGCTTGCGAGGACACACGCCATCCATTAGCGGTCCACGATACCTCACGCAGGCACACCACAAACAACCTCCTCCCACCTCTCGACCTACCTCCAAAAGTCTCGATCTACCGATCCTCAAACCCATCTCCCAATTAGAGTACCGCCAACCGCCAACCGCCAACCGCCAAAATGCGCTTCACAAACCCCAAACACTCGCTTTCAACAGTCGACCCCTCAGGCGAAACCTCCGTCTCCCTCCTCCCCACGACGCCCGAAGACATGTGGCACGCCCACAACCTGATCGCCGAGTCCGACCTCTTGCGCGCGCACGCCATCCGCAAAGTCGTCACCACCACCAGCACCGGCTCCACCACCTCCGAGCGTGTACACACCGACCTGACGATTCGGGTACAATCCGTCTTCTTCGACCCGGCCGCCTCCTCGCTCCACGTCTCCGGCACTGTCTGCCAAGAAAACCCACACGTCAGCTTAGGCCAGCACCACACTCTTGATCTGGAACTCAACAGGCCCTTTCAGCTATGGAAGCGGTCAGGTTGGGACTCGGTAGCCCTCAAAATGTTGGAGGAAGCGGTAGCGGAGGATACAGGCGAAGCGACGTGCGCAGTCGTCATGCAAGAGGGACTAGCGAATATCTGTCTTATTACCGACTTCCAAACCGTCATCAAGCAGCGCGTCGAGTCCAACATTCCCAAAAAGCGAGCAGGCGGATCAGCCAGCCAGGGCGGGATGACGAGTTTTTACGAAAAGACGCTGGCGACGCTGCTGAGAACTATCGACTTCACCAAGCCGAGACCGTTGTTGCTGTGCAGTCCGGGGTTCGTGGCGCAGGATTTTCGGGGGTACATGCAGAGTGAAGGGCAGAAGAGGACAGACAAAAAATTGCAGAGGATAGCGAAGGACGCGGTGGTTGTGCACAGCAGTACGGGGTATGTGCATAGCTTGAATGAAGTCCTGAAAAGCCCGGAGGTGCAGGCCACGATGAGGGATAAGCGGTTTACGGGCGAGACTTCGTTGATGGATCAGCTGTATGAGCGGCTGCGGAAAGATGATGGGCGGGCGTGGTACGGTGCGAAACCGGTGGAGAGGGCGGTTAAGGAGGGTGCGGTGGGACGGGGAGGGGGTGTGTTGTTGATTAATAACAAGTTTTTCAGGAGTCTGGATATCAAGACTAGGAAGAGGTTCGTGGCGTTGGTGGATAAGGTTAAGGAGGATGGAGGGGAGGCGAGGGTTCTCAGTAGTGATCATGAGAGTGGACAGAGATTGGATGCGTTGGGCGGGATTGCGGCTATCTTGACGTATCCAATCTTTGATTTGGATGAGGATGAGGTGGAGGAGGGTGGTAATGGGGAGGAAGGTGAGCCGGTCGAGGAGGGAGCTATGATTATATGAGGAATGTTGCAGTGGTTGTTTCATGCGTTCACAGCGAAATATCACAGCCTGGTTGTGACGGCATTATTTCATTTCTACCATTGTTTTACCAAATACCGTCAGATGTCAAGATGCAAAGCTTTGGTGTTTTGCTACTCCTTTCCCCTCCGCTTCTCGGACTGGACTGAGCTGGACCTCCAAATTTTCAAACACGACCGACGTCATTTCCAAACATTGGCATGTGCTTTTTGAAAACAAAGTGGGGCAAATGAGCGGTTCAATTCGGAGCACTCTGATTGGAGCGCATTGTCGAGAGTCGAGATGCCCTCATCGTCAAGCCTTCCGCAACTGAAAAAATAATCTCGCGTCAATGTTTGTTTCGATGAAGCTGTATTACTGAAGAACTAATGAAGATGTTTCACGATGGTCAGATTGTTCTGCTGATGGAGAGTCTGTATGTTAGAGTGGTATTAGAGACATCACCGACAATATTATGACACACCCTGATTGATAGTGAAGCTCAAGTTTGAATTATCGTCCAGCTCTTTGTTGTCAACTGAAGATATTTATTCCAATGCCATTGAAGACGCAAAGAGTGAAAGGTCCCGTTCTCCCAACACCACTCCGCAATGTGTGTGCATCAGGTGACGCCCACTTACCCGGCACATCCGACTTTGTGTTTCCTCGTGCCTTGCGAGCCTTTCGTGCCTCATTCCCGTTGTACAAACTTTGCATCTTTCCCATCCACCATTCCAGGCACCGCGGCGTTGTCTTACCACATTTCTCAAAAGTTGTGTTTGTGTTTCCTGAAAAGTGCGCCAGTTCCAATCGTCGTACCGTTTGTCGTCATCAACATTTTCAAGATTCAGCATCCTTCTTCTCCAACAATTCATCAACACCTGCAGGCCAAAACACATCACAAATTCAACATCCGTCGGAATTGAAATCCAACAAGTGGAGCCAAGTCGGGCCACGGCATCTCGACAAGTCCGACCACAGTCTTGGCACGACATCATCCCAGGTCCTCCATTGATCGCCCTTGGGCGGGCGTGACCCCTTGCGGCTTGCGCAGCTTCCCCGGCATCAATTCGACCGACCGACTTGCCTGACAGGAAAAGTGGAAGGCAGAACCCTGACGGAGAGCTGCTGAAAAAGAAATCCCCACAGCGCCCTGAATCCAGCCTAGCCCCTGGAACTCCATCAACTCCATCTTACAGTGGACTCTTTCAGGGCACTTTCAGTGGGACTCCAGTCTGTGCCTGCCTCGCCGCCGACGGACTCGACATTCTTCCCGGTCAGGGGCTTGTTCGAACATTGTGCGACTTTGTGACTTTGCGACAAGGACGGGAGACGAAGCGACTCAAGCGAGAGAAGGGCAATTGGAAGACACCGTTCAACGGGACGAATAGGCGAGAGAAATACGCCAACGACAAGAGACGAAAGACATCGGAGACAAGCGAAACCACGAAACTAAACAAGCGAAAAACGTGGCGCCCGCTGCCCACGCCGTCGGGTTGTAGCATTTCGATTTAATCCCATCTCGAAGCAGAGAAGGAAGAATGTCAACGACCAAGAGAACCAAGCGATCATCATGGCAACCGGGTGATGACACAGGAGCGTTATCAACCTCGAAAAGTAGATACCTCTCGCCCGAATATGCGCCGGCGCCGGCAACAAACCGACATTCATACCATTCCGATACCCCTACTCATCACCATCATGCGCACCCTGTCCATCCGAATAATCACCATCTAAAGAACCATCTACACCACGGCGGACATGGACATGGTCGGCATCTCAGCTACGCCGCTTCACCCGTCTCGGGGCATTATTACGACGGCAATGCTCCGGAGACGGGGAGGACCCGGTCCAAGTCCAGCTCCCCGGGAGACGGAGAGCTGAACGGAAGTCGAAGTGGATTTGGACAAGAACGCCGAGGTAAGTTAGCATCAATCGTTCAAATTGTTAAAAATCCATGGCGATCGACCAATCCATCACCTCCCTTTTTGTGTGGTTGGCATCGCTTGTTGCTGAAGGCAGTGGATATCGCCAAGCCGCTGGTGTCCCCCTTCTGACCTTGTCGTTTTTTTATTTTGCATTATTGTCCCTTTTCCTCGTTTCTTTTCCCCGTTTCTTTTTTCCCTGGATGTCCGTTGAAGAGGTAGAGAGTGAGAGAGACATCGGTGCTATACGCGCAAAGATCCCCGAGAAGGACAGGAACAAGACCAGACCACGGACCAAGAGCAAGGAGGGTGCTATCATTCATATGCAACCAACCCGCGGACTACCTGCGGCTAGGTATTTTGTTGTCGTCCGAGTCCCGTTCGCTGCAAAGTCTCACTGCACTCTGCATGATCTAGCGTTGCCTTTTCCTTTCTTGAACATTGGCGACTGGAAAGAGAGCAAACGGGTTGCATTGGCGATCGATCCTTGACGTAGTTGCCTGTCTTGGTTCTTGCCTTCTTCCCCTTTCCTTGTTGATGTTGAGACATCCATCCATCCCTCTCTTTACCAACTGCCGTTTATTCTCTTTACGCGTATCCCACCTTTTGTGTTCTTCCCGTCCCCCTTACGTCGTCTTTACCTCCTTCTACCCAACCAATTTATACGCGTACCGTCCGCTCCTAGTACCTCGAACTGCATTATTCGACGACAAGCCATGCGACACAGTATTGACGAAGCCAACAACGGCGGCACATCACTAGGCACCCACAGCTTGATCCGATCCTCGACCCCAGGAGGCGCATCACAAGGCCCATCGCCAGCTACCACTCCCGTCCCCATCCCGGGCGCCATCAGACGATCCCTCTCCGTATCCGCAAGAGGCTCCTCGTACAATACCCAGGCTACCGCGACCACTCCTGGTTCGTTCATGACCGTTACCGAATTGCAAACCTCAAAAGACCGAGACGACCAACAGCAATTCGCGGAAGAGAACAACAACAAGCAGCTTGGAAACGGACCCAACAATGACATTGCTCCGTCAGGCAATGGGAGCGCCGCTGTCAGCAACACCCATACTTCTACGTCGGTAGCCCAATCGTTGGGAGCCAATTCCAACTCGGCCATTGATCCGCTGTCCCAGGTCAGTCATGGTCTTGTCAGAGACATCTGCATCTTACCAACAGCATCATGTCATGCAGCTTGCGCCTCATTCTTGGCCTTCCCCCGCATTACACATCCTGTCATGCCCCCGTTCCCGTTCTCCCTTGCGCCTGCGCATGGAACCTAGCCAGATAGATACACGTATGGAAAGCTAACCATACTCTCTTCTTTCTTTTAGCAAATATTCATACGAAGACAAACCGGCGACCTTCTCCAAGGATCCTCGTCCTCGAAACCACCGAAACATTTACGCAACAATTCCAGACCCGGGAGTCCGGGTCTGATGTCGAGCGTTGGAGAAGGGGCAGCAGGGATATTAGCAGGCAGAAAGGAATCAGAGTTTGGAGCATCTTTCTCGAGGACTAATACACCAGGGAGTGAGGTTAAGGATAAGAGGTATGTTTTTCATCCCGTCCAACCCATAACATACCTCGTTCCATGACACCCAAGACTGACTCTCTTTCTGTTAAACAGCAAAAGCAAAAACTTCTTCCTCCGCTCCCTCACCCTCCGCGGCCGATCCAGCTCGTCCAAGTACAACGACTTTGACTCTGACTCCGAATTCGGCGGCGACCCCCGCATGAATGGCTTCAACGCCCGCGTCTTCAGCCAAGCCGTCGGCTACACCCCGCACCACAAGGAACCACCAAGATACATACGAACAAAAGCGGCGAACAAAAAGGAGCGAGACTTTGGACGGGTGTTTCTGGCGCAGGAGTTGGTGGGGACGAGACCACCTGGGTACAACACTACACGAAATACACAGCAAGAGGGGAATAAACAAGGGCAAGAGGGTGGAAGCAGCAAAGGGGATGCCCCGGCCCAAGGAGGAGAAACCAACGGAGGATCAACAGTAACAGTCAGCGTCGCCGGCGCCGGCGGTCACCGCAAAGTCGCCAAAACCGGCGGCGCAATCTGGGCCACCGAATTCAGTCGCGACGGGAAATACTTTGCTGCCGCAGGGAAAGACAATGTTGTCAGGGTATGGGCGGTGATCTCCACGCCCGAAGAACGACGAGCACACGAAGAAGAAGAAGCCGCTGCGACTGGAGGGACGACCGGAGAAAGGCTTAGCGCGCCTGTCTTCCGCGATCGACCTGTTCACGAGTTTGTGGGACATACGGGCGAGGTGCTGGATTTATCCTGGTCGAAAAACAACTTCTTGCTGTCTTCGTCGATGGACAAGACCGTTCGACTCTGGCACATTTCGAGACAAGAATGTCTATGCACATTCAAGCATAAGGATTTCGTCACACGGTTGGCGTTTCACCCAAGAGATGACAGGTTTTTCTTGGCTGGCAGTTTGGATACCATTTTGAGATTGTGGTCGATCCCTGATAAGACGATTGCCTTCTCGGCGCAGTGTCCAGACCTGATCACGGCCGTGGCGTTTAGCCCGGATGGCAAGACGGCGATTGCGGGCTTGTTGAACGGCCTGTGTCTGTTCTACGAGACGGAGGGATTGAAGCCGCAGGCCCAGGTGCACGTAAGGAGTTCGAGGGGAAAGAATGCGAAGGGGAGTAAGATCACTGGGATCCAGACGATATCTGTGCCGCCGCCGGATCCGTTGAAGGAACAAACGCCAGATAGTGAGGAACAAGGGGAAGTCAAAGTGCTAATCACCTCTAACGATTCCCGAGTGAGGATATACAACCTCCGCGACAAATCGCTGGAGATCAAGCTAAAGGGACACGACAACTCGGTCTCGCAAATCGCCGCGAGTTTCTCAGACGATGGGAAATACGTCATTTGCGGATCGGAAGACAAAAAGGCGTTTATATGGGGATTGAACGGAGGGCAGCAGAGAGCGGCATATATGGACAAAGAAAAGAGCCCCTACGAGTACTTTGAGGCTCATGGGGAGATGGTTACCACGGCGGTTTTTGCGCCCACTAAAACGAGAATGTTGCTGGGTCGCAGCGAAGATCCGATTTACGATCTGTGTAATCCGCCACCGGTCTTGTTGAGGAGTGCTGGGGAGGAGGAGGTGGCGACGGCTAGTGCTACGCATAGTGCTGCTGCTAGCCAGACTGAGTTGTCATCTGAGGACCATCACCCGCCAGCGCCGATTCAAAGACCGGAACCGAGCCCGGCGTATATCGCCAGGTCGACGCATTATGATGGAAATATCATTGTCACGACGGATGACACTGGTATTATCAAGGTGTTTCGACAGGACTGCGCTTATGCCAAGAGGAAGCACGACTCCTGGGAAACCGGCTCGACCTTCTCTCGCAAGCTTACCTCCCACGGCGGCAGCCTCTACAACGGAAGACTAGGACGAAGCATTAGTGTGTTGTCGAGAACTTCCGCAGGGACAGGTAGCGCCGCTCACTCCAGAAGAGGCTCCATGTCCGGAAACAATGCGCCATACATGGTCACCTCACCAGTCTCTCACGCTTCGGCTTTGAACCAGGCTGTCAACGCAGGCAGCGATCGGATTCTCAGTTGGAGGATGGGAATCGAAAATGGTCCCGATGCCGGCGGGAACGGTGTCGCTGGACCTCGCCCCGGAGCCGGAGCAGGACAAGTCGGACCTGCGCCCGGTAACAGGTCTTCCGCCATCGTGAATGGCAGCAACAGATGGTCTGGCGTCCAAACCCCAACCCATAGCGATCGGTCTTTGAGCCCCGTCCGTCCAATAGCAGTAGGTAACAGAGCTTCCATGCCAGCAGCTGTTTCAGTGCCTAGCACACCTAACCGTAACGCCAACGCCAACGGCACGTCCACCCCCAACGGCGCCACGAACGGGTATCCCCACGGCCACTCGCACCTCGCTACGCATACCGAAGCCAACAGCAACTTGCTCGAATCGCCCGCCAACCTGACCCCCATGCATAGGGTCAACACGATGGGAACAGGAACCGAACTGGGAAGTCCAACAAGGTCTGTGCCGATGGATATCACGCCTGAACGGAACCGTCAAGCCCGTGAGAGGGAGGAGAAAGAGAAGGATCTGCCTGCGCCGGGGTTCAGTTTCCGGTCAGTGGGTAGGACGGGGACTGGTGACAAGGAGGAGAGAAGGGGAAGTCAGCCTTTGGATCAAGACCAGACTGATGGTGGCAACAGTGGGAACGGTGGAGGAAGTGGCAACGGCAGTGGAAGCGGAGGTATTTCCTTCTGGAACCCATTGAAGGGAATGGGGTGGAAGGTCGGTATTCCCGGTTTCGGAAGCAAGAGTTCGACGCCTTCGAACTCCAGTGGTCAACGGCCTGGTAGTTCCGGTGTTGGTCTTGACAAGGAAGGAGGTTCTGCCGGGAATGGCGGGAATGGGAAGGGTCATAATCGGAGTATGAGCGCTGGCGTCAAGGGTTCTCACGCGGATGAAGAGGGTTCGTACGGAGTCAGTCCCGGTATTACACCTTGGGATGTCCCGTTGGGTTCGTCTGTTCAAACCCAGTCCAGCGGTCATGGCCGACGCAAGAGTTTAGGTGTGTTCAGCACCATTACAGGTGGGAATAAGGGAGATAAAGACAAGGGTGAAAAGGGTTACGGTGAAAGGGAAGTGATGCGCAAACCACTCCCCGTTGGTCCGCTCCTCGCTACGACCGATGACGACGACCTCAGCGGTAGTACTAGTACAAGCGACAATTACGCCAACGGCTTTGCGAACGGTTACGCCAACAGCTCCGCCAATTCCAACGGCCACGCCCGCACCCAATCCCAGTCCTCAGGAACCATCACCGGCCTGCAACGCCCCCCTTTGATCGTACCAACAATAATCAACACCCGACCCAGCGGAGACGAGGAAGATCGGCCGGAGCTGGATTTGGAAATTGAATTGGAGAGGGAGAAGGAGGTTTTGCAACGGGAAAGGGAATTAGAGAGGGAAAGGCAAAGGGAACGAGAAAGGGAACGAAGTAAGGAAAGAGAAAAACAGAGAGAAAGAAGTAAGGAGAGGCAGAGAATGAGTTATTCTAGGATGAGCTGGTCGAGATTGGGAATGGGCGGGTTGGCGGGGAGGGCGAGGGCGAATAGTGATATTGCTGAGAGGGAGGAGGAGGAGTGATGATTTTTAAATGGGGGTGTGAAAGAGAGAATGATACCACTACTACTGCTTCTACGCATTGCACTGCATGAGATACCTGCTTAGCCTACTAGCCTTTGTATTACCCTGAGTTCATGTTCAAGTTGATGCCTTTGCTCGTTTTGTTGGACATTATTCGGAGACTAGCAACAGAGAAGGAAGAGAAGAGTTAAGGAAGCATTGTCAGCGCTGTTTTCCATGTTTTTGATGCAAATGCCCTCCATCTACATTCGATCCTACCTGCTTTGTCCGTTGTCTGTTGATTCCACTTCCACTGGCTCCTTCCTTGCTTCTATGGCCGCAGTGGTGATGATATATCTGCAGACGATGATGGGTAGCCTCCATTTAGGAAGCCACGATGGATGAATGTGAAACGGTAGGTGGGTAGAACTTGAAGGAGAACATGAATGAGAAAGGGAAGAAGGGGCGAGACGGGGTCATGGAGAGAAGCGGGGGTGTGGGAGTAAATGCCGATGCAGCCGGGAAACTTTGAAGTGGGCGGGAAGTTTCCGATGTTTTTGACATTTGCTTCCCAAGACTTTTCCTCTTGCAATCTTTTAATTTTGGAGTTAACAATTCAGTGCCCTTCCTCTTCCAATGCCTTTTGTCTCGCGCCTATCTTTGCAACTAACTACTACATCGAATCACTACCGGGACGCCTATTACAGTTCCAGGTATGGCCACCTTCCCTGCTTCAATCCTCGATCTGGAGCTGAGCTGGATTCAATTGCAACGACGATGGCGGTGACGGAAGCCACCACGAACACGACGGCGGGCGCGACGACGACGACGACGACAGTAACGACGACGGTTGCGGTATATCCGGGCGGCGGTGAATATGGTTGATGGAATTGGTGGTGCATTGGCTGCGTGGACTTGATGTATTGTGTAAGGTACACATATATTCCGTTTGGCCCAATATCAGCCAAAGCCATGTCACCCTACAGCATCACCTCGCTGTCTTCACGCCAATGCCCTATGGGCCATCTTTATCCAGAAAGATTACCAATAGGATTCGTTGCGTATCCCTTAGTTGCAAAGGTTGAAGTCTAGGTATCTGGCCATCTAAACCACTACCAGCCGACAGTCCCTTCACCACTGCAGTCCCTCAGACTTCAACGCCAACTACCTATCTATCCAGATCCAATCCGTTAAAAATACCTAATGGGTGACAATTTCGACCTCGTCTCCCACTGGGACGAACTCGACCGCTGCGGCACAGGCAGCACCTCACGCTCCGACTGTGAGCGGGGGCTGTTCAACTTCAACCTCGCCCTCTACTACTGCTCCACCTACCCGTCGCTCCTCGGCCATCGGCGGCCGTGGGTGCTCGTTAGCTTGGGCTGGACCAGCCGCATGATGGGGCGATACGACCAGGCCCAAATCTACTTGCAGCAGGCAATGGACGAGCTCAAACATGAACGCGACGATTACGTCTACGAAGAATTTGAAGGGGACACGGTTGCAAGCAGGCACAGCCGGTGGACCTTCGCGTGGGCGGAGCTCGCGATGACGATGCAGTTGATGGGAAGGTTGGAGGAGGCGGGGAAGGCGTGGAAGGAGATCTACGAGATGGCCAAGACGGGCTGGACAGATTTCCATGAAGGGGACGGCACGGATGGGCACTGGGTGGGGGCGTATAGCAGGTTGGAGTGCATGTGTAGGGCGGTGGGAAACATGGGGGTCGTCAGTTATTTGCTGGCCGTGGAGATGTTGGAGTCCATTGAGGGAGTGAGCGATGGAGGAGAAGCGACAGACGGGGCAAGAGAAGAGGCGAGAAGATTGTTAGGAATCGCGGTTGAGAACCTAACGGAGAGAATAAAGTTGGCGCTTGAGATCAGAGCAGGGTATGATGACTTGGATGATAAACTGTGGGTCGAGGAGGAGGATGAACTGGTGCGGAAGAAGCATCAAGCCAGGGCCTGGCAGATCATCGGGTATTCAAGGTTGAGCCTGGTTTATTCCGCCATTGCAGCACTCGGGGGCCCAGACAGCGTTAGAAATAACTCAACTCAACTCAACTCAACTCGGGGTTGAAGTTGAGTTGATCTACTTAAGTAGAGGTTATACTTGCGTTGAGTTGAGTTGAGTTATACTTACTTAAATACTTAATACATAAAATTGGGTTGGCGATGTAACTACGAAATAGTGGGGGAGCTGGATTTGGGGGATCTTATATCAATTTAAATAGTATAGATTTTTGGTGGTTTGAGCTGGGCACTGGCAACTACACAGTAGGCATAGGGACTGGCAATTGGGATGCGCATGGCAGTCCTATGGTTTAGGGTGGATCAATTATTTAGGGGGAAAAACCATGTGTTTTTACGCCTATAACTCTAACCCAAGGATTCTGCCGCTGTGCCAAGAAGGCGGGCAAGTCGGCAAGTAAGTTCGAAATCTAAGTTGAGTTGAGGCAAGTAAGTTGACTATTCAACTTAACTTGCCTTATACTTATACCTACTTATACTTATACTTACTTATACTTACCTACCGTACTTGAGTTATTTTCAAGGCTGGGCCCAGACGTCGACAGGAAGCAGATGGGGAGGTTGTCTATCAAAACCGCACGATTGGGCATAAACATAAGGCTTATGGGCGACACCACTGTGTATGCTTTGGCGCATTTCTATTACGGAAAGGCTCTGGTGGCGTATGGTCTGCATGAACGAGCGTTCAGGCATCTGGACATACACCACTGTAACGGACATTGCACACCAGCCATCGCCCTATGCAGACAGCCGTCCGCGGAACACAGGCGCTACCTCCAGGAGCTTGTTTACGCGGGCGTTGATCTGAACTGCTTGGACGAGCGCGCCTACAACGCAATGAATCATGCTGTGTTTGTCGGCGACACCCGAGCGGAATCCATCCTCGCTGCAGGTCTAAAGTCCCAATTTGGGGGCGACGAGCAGAAAGTGACCTTGGTACAAGACCGTGCCAGGTTGCGGAAGGGTTACCGTGAGATTTTCCAGGAGAAGCTGCGTCCTATCCTACTGCATCTCCGTCCAGCCAGTCCACACAGGTTACGATGTTTATATGCAGAGGCGCTTGACGCAGACGCGGACAAGCAACGGTTGTTTGATCGGCTCAAGTATCTTCCGTATGCTGACTTCAGCTTTGGAAGGTTGCCCAGGTCCAGTGATCGGTTACATAAACCATTTACACCTGCCACAGACGACGGAAAATACATCATCTTCATTTCGTACAGGTGGATCAACAAGGATCCAAACCCTCAATCACCAGATGATGCTAATAATACGCAGTATAAGCGAATGCTTGATGCGGTAGAGTTGTTTTTGCAGAATCGTCCAGAGGTGGAAAAAGAGAAGCTGTGTATATGGATGGTAAGTCTCTCTCACTATGTCTCCAAGCCCGAGGCCGATCAGAGAAGAGTGGAGGAAAGTAAAATGGAATCTCAACGGGGAAGAACGAGGAAGAAAATCAAAGATGAGAAGGGAAGAGAAGGCGGGGGAAGACCGGAAGAGCACGTTGCAAGGATGCAGACCTGACAGACTCGCAGGACTTCGCCTGTGTCGACCAAGACAATCCCAGTGCTGGCGTCGCCGCACTCCCTATGATCATCGCCCAATGCAATGCCGTCATCAGCCTGCTAGACGACGAATACTACGAACGTGCGTGGTGTTCAGTGGAAGCAATGATAATCCAAAAGATCAAAAAGAAATACCCCGGCTACTTGTGGTATGAGCATGTCTCTCTTCCTGCATCAGAGATACCTCTATCTGATGATTATGATGATGGTGATGATGATGATGGTGATGATGATGATGGTGATGATGATGATATCGAGGGCAAACGTCTGGACACCAACCGGCAGGTCAGAAGGTGGATTTTGCGAAGGACGTTCGCGACTATGGTCTTTTTCATGATGTCCAGGAAGTTGAGCAAGGAGAGTGATCGGCCGATGGTGATGTTTCTGGCGGCGCAGACCCAGTTTTTGTGAGGAAATGGAGGGAAAGCGGCCAACAGAAGTGGCTGGTGATATCTAATGGGGCATACAGAGAACCGAGAGCTAGACTCAACATGCGTCAGTCTTGGCAGCGCCTTAGATGGGATGTGGACGCTCGCTAACAGATACACAGGCTTTTCACTAAATCAGCTGTTAATAGAACAAGGCTACACTAACAATTTCTCATCCGCCGCCTGTAAAAGCTCGAATTTCAACATCATCAGCTAGCGAAACCTCTGAAGACATTACTTCTCAACTCCAAAAGTTACACATCCACTCCATCCATCATTTTAGGCATTTGTTGCACCTCCGTTCCATCCATCTTATTACCCATTTCCACCACACCTGGGCCCTTCAAGTCTTCAAGCCCCTCATGCCAACACCCTCAATCGTCACAACTTCCACGAACCCTTCTCCCTCTGCCTGCATGTGCCTTGAGTGCCCTCCCCTCCTCCAGGCCAGCAATCCCCTCACCGACACCCACCATGCCCTTCTCACGCTCACGCAAACCCACCCCCTCTTCACCACCTTTCGAACCCCTCCAATCCACCCCTTTACCATCACCATAACCTCCACCATAAACCCCGGCATCCACTCCCCATTACTCGCCCCATCATCCCTTTGCAAATAAACTCTGAACGCATCCCTATACCTCCACACCACAGCGCCGCAAATGACCATCTCCAACGCCACCCATCCAAATGTGACAGCCGGCCATTCTCCCCGGATTCTTTTGATGAGGATTTGCTCTATTGCTGGAATCTGTGGAAGACCGAGCGGACCATGGCCCCAGAGGGAGTAGCAGTCGCAGCGGTTGAAGATGCCGAGTTGGATTAGCAGGATTATTGTTAGGATGGAGAGGGAGAGGATGAAGTTTTTGATGAGGGTTGGGGTGTAGGTTGATGGTGATCGGGGAATTGGAGTTGTTGGTGGGTTCGAAGCGTTGGTGCCGGTGGGACTAGGGATGGGTGTAGATGATCCTGGGACTAGGGATATGGGCATTAATGGGCAAGAAGAATCGGAAGTGGCGGGGAAGGGGAAGGAAGAGGGTGAGGAAGAGGGGGCGCAGCTGTGGTTGAGGGGGGGCGAGGATAAGGGTGTGAAAAGCGAAGAGGAAGGAGATGTGGGAAAAAAGGAGGACAAGGAGGCAGGAGAGGGGTCGTGGGAAGAAGGGGAAGCGGAGGACAGTGAGCTAGGAAGAGAGCTGGAGGAAGAGGAGGAAAAGGTCGAAGGAGAAGAAGGACGAGAGGGCGCCACTGGCGACGAGGGATACCAGAACTCGAGGATAAGAGTAAGCAGGAAATCGATGAGAGCGGAGACGAGCCAGATCCCCATCATCAGCAGAATGGCGCCATTCCGACAGTCGAATCCCTCCGGCGGAACTCGGTAGGCAATGAAAGAAGCAACAAGAAAAGAGGCAAAGACGAAGAAAAAGGACAAAGCGATGTGAGGAAAGGTGGCAGACAGACAAGAAGGAGAAAAGAGTTCAGGGCGATAGGCGTACATCCCGCCCGACGAAACCCGATGGTGGAGGTCAGAAGATATCATCTCCGCCCCAGTCTCATTCTCCTTCTTTTTCCCCACTCTCCTTGTCCTCAGCCCTTCTTCCCTGCTCCTCATCCCCGTCCACTTTCCCATCCAACCCCAAATCGGCCGACGAAAACACCCCTCTTCTCCTCGACAATACTACCGGCGTCTCAATACTCTTCAGCCTCTTCACCCATTCCTCGCCCTCCGCCTCAAGTTTATCATGCAAATCATTCAAGATATTCGGATGGCTCGTCTCCGTCTGCGGCACGCCAATCAGCGCACTGAGAAAAATATCTGATAACAAGTGCAAAAAGGGCGCGGAAATAGCAATGGAGTAAGCCTCGACGTTCAACCAGGTGTGTTCGTCTAGTTGGGTAGTCACGTCCGCTACGCGCCAGTAGGCGCCCGCGATGCCGATTATGAACGACAAAAGAGTGATGAAGATGGGGAGGACATAGGTGGATCTGTCGGCAGCGAGGAGGGAGGCTGTGAGGCGAAGGTGGTGCATTATCCGGAGGGCTTGGGAGGGGGAAATGGAGGGGGAGAGGAGGAGGCGGTCACTACAGCACATGGGGGTTAGTGGAAGCTGGGCGTGAAACAGAGGGGGGAGGGAACGTACATGCTCTCCTTGAGAAAGACGTCAATGTCCTTGACGCCCCATTCACTGTAAGTCGCTGCGATAATGCTGAGTTCTTTCCAGAGGTTATCGCCCCCGAGCTGAAAGCGCCAGGTCGTTACGACCCCTTTACGTCCACGTTCTCTGGCGTCGTCGACGTACGAGCGGATCTTTTCCGTGAGTTTCTGACATTGAGCCACGGTGTAGAGCAACGAAGCACCAGTGTGAATGGGGTCCCCAAGGAGATGAGCGAGGATGAAGAGAGTAGTGCTGTTAAACCATCGAGAGGGAAGCGGTGGTCGAGCAAAGTGGAAGAGGAGCACGGCGAGGGGGAGTTTCCATGTTACCTTCATGAAGCCGGTGTTAGCCACGGTCCACGGATCAGGAAGAAGATTTCGGCAAAAACATACGATTCGATTCCAGATCCCAATCAACGAAAACATCCACCAAGTCCACTTGTCAGACCCAGTCAAGATGTGACAGGCATCATTCGTCAAGGAAGTGATGCCGTCTTGGGTTTTCAAGTACGGACAGCTTTCAGGGTTGGTGACGTTCTGCAGGATTTCTTCGAGAAAATTGTGCAACAAGACGAAGCTAAAGGGGCCGATATAGCGAAGGGTGACGTTGCATGCAGTTAGAGGTATGCTATCAGTGAGATCTTGGAAGGGGGATGTAGAGGTAGAAGTGGATAAGAGGAATGGTGCTGGTGCTGTGTCCATTTGACATTGTGTCGTTGATGATGGGAAGTAGCGAAGTGAAGGAGACAAAATGATGAAAGGGGATATGATCGACTCATATGCTCATCATCTCCTCTGCCTCTCCAGAAGTTCAGCTCGCTTATCATTCCCAACTCATCCATACCTCTCCCATTCCCATGCCCATGGTCCTGGTCATCCAGGTCCCATCCATGCGCCATCCACCCCATCTTCCAAAGATAACGGTTCACTCCCCCTGTCCATCCCCAGTGTCACATGGCTGGGTGCCCTCCCCATTTACCTACAGCCTTACCAAACTTCATTGGCAGACATCGGCAACGAAGCTACCACAGCCCATCAACCCATCTCAAGCTGAGCTTGGCTATCTTGGCCCACCTAACCGATGACCAAGACGCGTCAAAACGCATAAAAGACGCATAAAAGCGGTGCAGTGGAACACAGCCATTCCGCTCTGGGATGAACAGCTGCAAGCCACTCATACTTCGTCAGCACTCGATGGTGTGGGAGCTGTGGAAGGTTGCGAACGAACAAAAGCTTATCGATTCCTCCTCGGCACCTCGCTGATTCTTTCCTTTCTTGTCGATTTGTCCCACGATGGCGACAAGCAGGCACCAGAACGCTTTCTTGGGTCTTGGGTGTTAAGTCTTGACGATTGGGGTCGACCAACCATGATCCAGGACTCGCCAATTCAGCTCATGTGTCATCGTTCCGGGGTTGCATTTGTGGCGTTCCGGGGACCGAAGATACAGCCATGTGTTGCTCTCTTTCTGCGCAGAACTGTAGAGATGTTCTTGACAGCTACATACAGATAAGGTTCTGAGGCTTGAACTGTCAGACCGAGAGAGTTGTGGGAGTCAATCGTTCGGGAGTACTGACCGAGTAGTGACCGAATGACGGGTGTCTCTCCCAGCGAGAACGTGGGCGGTGGCTGCTGAGAGCCTCGGCGTTGGGAGCAATAACATTTACTTACCGTCGTCAACTCCTCTTGCGATTCTGGACAATGGCAAGAAGGAAATAAAGGAATGAAGGAAGGAAGGAAGAAAGGGAGGAAGGAGGGGGACATGGAGGAAGAAAACCAGTCTTGCGGCCATAGACGTAGATCGAGATGGGGTATCGCAGAATTGTTAGCGAATAGGGCTGTCACGAGTCTGATGAGATCTACGCACGCTTCGAACATCTTGTTTTGGAAGCGCGAGGCATCTACCACGTTGTTCTGTTTGTGGACGTAGTCTTCTTGCCAGTTCCTGTCGGTTTGGCAATCGTAGCCTGGACAGAGTGGGCGATAGGGGGCGGAAGAGTGGAGGGCTTTATCAAGAACAAAGTGGTTGTAGTACTCGAGATAGTGTCGATGCCTCAGCTCTTGATTGTTTGGGTCATGTTTGAGACCCCGGTGACGCACTTCGAATACCGGCGTACGTAACTCGGAGTAGCTGTTGACGAGCATGTTGAACCGGACCACCGAGAGGGATCCTTGTAAGGCTGCCTTCCAATCCAGCGCCTCGTGATGTCCGCCAGGTACGCTCATGTTTAAGCCTCTTCTACTTTCTTTCCCTCCAGCGCCCTCTTACTCCTCCCCTCAAACCCCTTCAAAATCGTCTCCTTTTTGCTCCTTGGTAGTGAAAACCAACTTCAACTCCTCCTTCTCTCCGCCACCACCATCGATCACCATCACCCCCGTCCTACACTCCTCCTCAGTCGCCCACACAAACCTCACATGCTCATTCGGATCAACCACCACCTTTGGCAGCCCCTTCCATTTTCCCTCCAGCTTCTCCACTCCCCCATTCCCTTCTTCCTTGACCCCACACCCCTCATCAACCTCCACCTCAACACTAATCTTCAACACCACCTTCCCACTCCTCGTCAAAAACACGTGCGGCTTCGTTTCATCACCAACCTGACAAACCATCCTCTTGGGCACCAACCCCGCCTCCTCCCACATTTCTCTCGCAACACCATGCAAGAACGACTCGTCTTCGGGATCGATTGCGCCGCCGGGGATTTCCCACCGTAAGGGCATGGAGTCGTGCGGGGCGCGTTGCAGGAGGAGGATACGGTCTAGGCTGTCAGACGCAGACCTAGAAAAAACGAGGGCACCGCCTGCTAGACCTTGTGGGCGGATTGTGCCTTTGAGAGGGGTGGAGAGGAAGTGAGAGGTGGGATGGGCGAGGTGTGAGGCGGAGGGGGAGACGGTGAAGGTGAAGCCTCCGGGAGGAGGGGGGGCGGGGAAGGGGTGCCATTTTCGCGCGCTGTAGTTTGGGTAAAAGTGATGGCAGAAGACAAATCGAGAATTGGACACAATGTGTTTGGTGATTGCCCTTTAGATGTTGATGTTGAGGTGACAAGTGTGGATGTTTGGTGCTTGGGTGTTGAACGTTTGTCGTTGGGAGTCATCATCGGGAAGAGCCGAAGAGGTCCCGGCAGGCAGAAATGGCAGCCTAAAAAATTGTTAGTGCAGCCCCGCGACCTGGTATCGATGACGCTACCAACGCCTGAACCTCCGCGCTCATTGTTTGGACAGCTCCGACTTCTCACTTGCAACTTGTTTCTAGTTCAAATCTCATGCCATCGTTTATACAGCGTGAGATTGACTTGAACGTTCCGGCGCCTCCCTTTACTTTCCAACTTTGCCCACTACCAACCTTCGATCATTTTCAACAAAGAGAGAACAGCGGCAGATCTTTCAAGGATCAATGCCTCACCGATTCATGCCCCGAGAGGTCCCCAAATACAGGGCAATCACCAAGTCGCCCTCATGATATTTCCACCCTCCCCATCAAAGAAGATAATGTTTACTTTCGACAATATCCCAAATATCCAAACATCGCCAAGTCCCCATCCATAAACCAACCGCTAACAACTTCACTTAGGACCACAATGTCACTGCCCTCATATGAAGGCGTTCCTGAAACAAGGGGCCATCCGCCTCTGATTCGCTCGCACTGACGCACCCCTTCATCTCTGGGGACTCCTTGGCTGCACCCAAACCCCTGGATTGGAGGCTCACAGCCCCATGTATCGACCCCTGGATTTGACGTTTGATCTCCGCTCAACTGCGCTCTGGTGGTGTCGCACCTTTTTGGACGAATGTGACTGTGTCCGGGGATTCGAGGGTTGGATGAGGCATCTGTCACGCCATTCGATGACCTTTTAAGATGGAAGTTCTGGAGATGAGTTCTTCACTTGTGCTGAATCTGGTTCGAGGGTATTGAGGTTGGAGATGCTAGTGGCATCAAGGAAAGAATATCCGATGAGATTTTCCGGATATGGACCGGCTTCGTCACCTATTGATGACAGTTCATCAATCAACTGTCAATTTCATTCGGGGAAACATACCAAGGGTCTCCATGTGGTATTCCCAATTCTGGGCTGACACACCCAATAGCTCTCGGCATCCGGTAAACGGGAGGCAGTCCTCCACCCACCTCGCACAGTCCCATGGTACCAAACTTACCTTGAAGATCCATCAAGTTGTTTTGTGGACTTCTTCATCGTCTCCCTTTCACCTTTCCACTTTGTTTCTCCCTTCTCTTACTTCCATTCTTTTCTTTCTTTCCCGATCACGATACCTCTTCCGGTGTGTTTACCGGACTGGAGCGGAGTGGAGTGACTCGGACATCTCAACCTCTCATCCCGACTTCCACGGAATCGATGATCAATAACTCGGGTTGAGTTTCTTATTCACTTGATAGTACGCGGGTCGTTACTCACAGTCTATTTTTGGATTTTCCTTCTGTTTCATGCTTTGATCAGCATCAGCAAATCTTTTTGTTTCGTTATTAATCCAATTTTCCCATATCAATCTTTGGTATCCATGCCAACCGTTTTGCGATAACCTTTTTTACGCATTATCGGCCGCCGACATGGCGGCTTTTCCTTTCTTATCAGCATCTCTTGTGCTTTTCCAGTTAGCACTATGTTCCGCACAACATCTCAATCTTACCGGCCCATTTCACCTCACCAACCACAAGTCAAACCAGAACCTCACAGCTCACAACACATCACAACCTCTCAACCTCACCACCCACACTTCCGGTGATGGCTGCGTCCACCTCCCCATCATCCACTCCACCAACATCGACCATTTTGCCCGGCGAGGCATCCAACTCGCTCTCAATAACCGGTCCGATGTAGCTTACTACGCTCAACGTAAGTCACCCCCCTTATACCTTACCTGCCTACAGTCCCAACTAACGCCCCCACCCCTTGCTTCAGTCGAAATCGGCACCCCTCCCCAAACAGTCTACACCCAACTCGACACGGGCTCCTTCGAACTCTGGGTAAACCCCGACTGTACCACTGTCTCCGCCTCCGACTCTATCTTCTGCCAACGAATAGGCCACTATAACGCCTCCTCCTCCTCCACTGCCGTCTCCCTCGGCACCAACAAAACTCTGCACTACGGCATCGGCTCAGCCAACATCTCCTACGTCACCGACGTTGTTTCCTTAGCCGGTACCTCTTCCGCTTCTTCCCTGAAAAAAGTCCAGTTCGGCGTCGCTACCAGTTCCAAGGATGCATTTAGTGGGATTCTAGGGATTGGGTATGGTCAGGGATTGGCTACGAAGTATCCTAATTTTGTTGACCAACTTTATGCACAAAACGTTACCAAGGTTAAAGCGTATACGCTTGCGCTGGGATCGAAATCAGCAAAAGAAGGAACCATTGTGTTTGGCGGCGTCGATACTTCCAAATTCTCCGGTCCGTTGGCGAAAGTACCAATCATATCAGCTGCTGCGTCACCGGATGGAGTTCCGAGGTTCTGGGTGCAGATGGGTGGTATCAACCTCACGCCTCCCTCGGGTGAACCGACAGCGAAGTATGAGGGATCGCAAATCCCTGCGTTTTTGGACTCGGGAAGCACGATGACGATATTGCCGCCTAAGCTGGCAGGCAAAATAGCCAAAGATTTTGGAAGTCCGGCGGCAGATGCGAATGGGTTTTATCAGGTTGGGTGTGAGTATGTTGGGATGAATGGGACTGTGGATTTTGAGTTTGGGACTGGAACGACAAGCACAGGGAGTGAAGGGGCAGGGGAGAAAAAGGTGACGGTTAGGGTCCCCTACCGAGAAATGATAAGGGAGGTGGGCGAGGGGGAGACAAAAACGTGCTTTTTGGGGGTGGTGGGTAGTGAGAGTTTTACGCTTTTGGGGGATACGTTTCTCCGTTCTGCATACGGTAAGTGTTGAAGTATTCTTCTTCTTTTTCCCCTTTTGGTTTGGTGGTAGATATGGTACTGACAGCAAGAACAGCCGTCTTCGACCTCCAAACTCACTCAATCTGGCTCACGCAAGCCTCCTCCTGCGGTTCCACGCCCGCCGCCCTTAGGAATGTCACGGATCTTTCGCGAGTAGTAGGCAAGTGCGCGGTGCAGCCGGGTCAGCAGGCGGCGGTGGTGGATGTCGTTTCTGAAACATCAATCCCGAGGCCTAGCACCTCTACGGCAGCCCCCGAGAGTGGGAGTGGGGGAACTGGAACCATAACCACGGGATTCGTTAGCACCACGCTTGCAATCCCAACTGGAACGGCATCGGCATCGCTGACGGCAGCAGGGTCGACGGATGGGGGAGTAAGTGGTATCGCGGCGACTGCGGTGGCAGGTGGTGCTAGTGGGATGCGGTCGAGTGCCGGCAGTAGGGTGCTGGGTGTCGCTGTTGCCGTTGGTGTCGCGGTGTTGACGAATTGGGGTTGATTGCCTTTAGAACATGAAGTACTGCTGCATGCTTGAGTTACATAGCATATTAGCATGGCGTTTGCGGCTAGGTACATAGATGGTTCAATCGATTCCCTTCTTCGTCGCACATTTGCACGCACGCATACGGGCAGATGGATGTACATGTGAAGGAGCTCATTCCTGAAGACCGCCACTGTTAAAACCTTCAAGGCCTTCGGGGTCGCTGACTGCAACCTGCATCTACAGCAACGGAGCGAGAAGGAAGTGAGCTTGAGGGTTAGAAGGTCCAAGCAAGGAAAAAAAAGGAGAAATATGATAACAAGCTGCTTGTATAAGAGCCACTTGCGGTGGTTAAAGCAAGCAAATAGTGGGTTTTGGTAGTTGGTACCGATTTTGGAATGAGATGGAAAAAAATGAGATGGAAAAAAATGAGATGGAAAAAATGAGATGGAAATGAGGCAATCGCAAGTTTGAGAATGGTGGGTATAACCCTAACCCGGGATCTTGGCAGATGGTTTGTCCCCCCTCCAACTTGGATGCCCGCAGCGCACAGAACCTCCGAGGCACCAAAAAGTCCCCGAGGTCTCACCAAACCTGAAACCGAGTGTCTCGCCAGAATGACGTTCTCTTCGCGACCACGAACAACGGTGCGACCCTCCCGCGAGTTCTGCCGTCGTCTCCGAACCACACGGAAGTCGTGATGCCGATGCCGATGCAGAGAAAAGCACGGAACCTCGAATTTGTGGTTGCGGTGGCTCGGGTGGTGAAATTCGAGGTTTCCCCGCTTTTCGAGAATCGTCCATCAGTTGCACAGAAAGTTGCACCACGAGTAGTTGCATTGATGTCGCTGGAAGCACCACAGCAGCGCAGTGCATCAAGGCAAATGCCTGGTCGGCCCGCTGTTCTTGTCAATATCAAGACAGAAGGGCGCAGGACCTTTTTCAGATATTAACCTCCAAGTCGGATTATTTTGGTCGGACGCGAATACGCAACTCCGTGGTCGGCGTCAGTCATATAACCTCAATGCCGCGATTAGAGGTTAGGTCTCCCCGGAAACCACAACCAAAGCCGTTGTTTTCCGAAAGTAAACAACCCTCTCGCTCCGATAGGGGCAAAAAAAGGGAATTCTTTTCCCGTTCCCAAGACTGTCCAAGACTGTCCAAGACGGTAGAGACGGGAACAATTGATCAATGGTGTGCTGCGGGATGGGATTGATGGGACATGCATGGCTTTGATATCGCGTGGTTTTGGTGGCGAGCCCTTTCCGGATCTGGGGTTAACCAAGACATTTTCAGCATTCTCCGGGGACACCCTCCCGAGTACGATATTCTCAGAAAGTGCTTGAAGAGTCACACAATCTGACATGATGGGAAATCGAAAGTTGAAAAAGTCGAAAAAAAAAAACAAGCATCATCATCTGGCCATCAAGCTTGGCTTCCACTTTTGGGTACAACGATGAACCCATCAATTGCTGCCCATCGAGTCCACCGTCGTCCACTGTCGTCCACTATCGTCAACATAACTCCACTATAACATCCACTATCACCAACCCATTCATCCACTGATCTGTTCACAGAAGTTCCACCCGCCTTATGCAATCCGGGGTTTTTTCTCTTTTTCCCATCCCAGGTCCCTGTTCATGTTCTGGTGATAAATTCGGGGTACATGGCCCTATCTCTCCGCTATCGCCTTGTGTCGCATTCACTAGGACCGGCTCATCGGATGGTTGTCGACAAAAAAGTCAAATTGGCCAATAAGAAGTTGTAACAAGGCCTAGAATAGACGCGCTATTGGTGCATTGCACTGCGCATGCTGCAGAAATTGTGCATAAAGCGGGTTGCCTGGTAGCGCCGTATCGATACCGCAGTACGCCGTAGTGTAGAGTGGTAGCGTCAAGTCCGAAAGGGCGTGCCGAGCGAGAAGGGCGTGTGGTCAGCACTGAAGAGGCTGTTAGAAATTTTCGTCATTGATATCAGCCTTGGATGTCCTTTCCTTTTCCATCCTCTTCCCTTTCTTCTTGTTCCCTTGACGACGGACCTGACAATAACCTACTTCCTTCCTCGATCCCGCCAAAACGGAACGGCAAGAAGCAGGAACGCCCATCCCGCAGCCCGCCAAAATGACCCGAACCAGCAAGACATTATCACTATCGGACGAACTTGCACCTGAAAGCAGGCCCTTGCTCAGCCATCATGACACCGAGGAATTGTTATCGCAGCGGTACGGCACGGATGGTACGGTGGCTCGTGCACCGCATAACCAGAACAACGCCGCGACCGGAGGAGCAAACAGCGACAACAACGGCAATGGTGATGATGACGGATTGGAGGATATCAACTTTGACGACGACCCGGATAATCCGCAAAATTGGCCGACGCCGTTCAAATGGAGTGTTGTGGCGCTGTTGGCTATGACGGCTTTTAGTGTGTATGTTGGCCTTGTATTCGGGTTGCATCTTATTTGCTTGCATCGACTCGCATCTCACCACCATGAAATTTATCATGAACCTTGTCGTCGTCGTCACCTTACTCAACATCCCCCGCAAAAAACACACATCTCACTTCCTTCCCCCATTATTTTTCACATACTCTCATCCATCCAACAAAAACAAAAGCTAACTCACATCCAGAACATTCAACTGCATCTCCCTCGTCCCTCTAGCTCCCTCAATCGTCCGCTCCCTCACGCCACCTCCAACGGACCCATCGCTTCCACCAACAAACCTTAAATCCGCCTCCGTCCTCCTCGTCACAATCTGGGAGTTAGGAGAAGCCGCAGGCCCTCTTTTAATCGCTCCCCTCTCGGAACTCTTCGGGCGCTACCCAACCCTCAACATCTCCAACATTTTGATGATCTTCTTCACCATCTTGACAGCAACAGCCACCTCCGTCCCAACCCTCATCTTATCACGATGTCTTACCGGACTGGCTGTTGCCTCAAATGTGCTAAACCCGGCTATTGTGGGCGATATGTTCCCCTCCGACCAACGCGGGAGCGCAATGTCCATGGTTTTCGTCGCCCCTTTAGTGGGCGGAGCCATTGGTCCTGCGATTGCGTCTGCTGTGGCAGACTCAGTGGGATGGAGGAATGTAGTCTGGGGCGCTGTCGTTCTCAGCACCATCTGCGAGGTTTTGTTCCTGTGTTTGTTCAAGGAGACGTATAAAGTGGCTATCATCAAGCGGAGACTGAAGGAGAAATCGAGGTTGGCGGATCAGGCGAATGCGAACCTGAACCTAGCAAATGGACCCGGAAAAAGAGGAATGGGGCACAAGAGGACATACTCAGAGATGAGCATTGGGAGTAAGCGGGCGGCGATGAAGAAGCTGAGGGACTCGGTGTTGAGACCGTTCTTGGTGGTCTTTGGGTCGGGACTGTTGATGGCGTTGAGTTTATTGGGGAGTGTCACGTTCTCGTTCTTTTACGTGATTAGTGTTACTTTGCCGGAGATTTTGGAGGATAATTATGGGTTGGAGGGGGCGGTCAAGGGGTTGTGTTTTATGGGTTTTAGTATGTTTTCTTCCCTTTCCCTTCTTTCCCCCTTCCCTCTTCCCTCTTCCCTTTTTTTTAACCAGCATTTGCAAATACTAACGTACCACAGCCGTCGGCTCCTTCTTCGCAGTCCTAACCTGCAACGCCTTCCTCGACCGCATCTACATCCACCTCCGTGACCGCCACGCCTCCGCCACCCTCGGTCTCGGCCCTTGTTCCCCGGAAAACCCCACCCCCGTCGAAAAACCAGAATTCCGTCTTCCGCTCACCATCATCGGCGCATTCAGCATGCCCTTCGCCATCACCTTCTACGGCATCGTCGCCCATCTTTGTCTCCCCTTGCCCTTTTTGTTGCTCGCATGCGCCATGATCGGCGCCAACGCCATGCTCACTTTGATCCCCCTGATGGCGTACGTCGTTGATGCCTTTGGGTTGTTCAGTGCTAGCGCCATGACGGGGGTTATCGTGAGTAGATGTCTTATGGGCACTTTCTTGCCGTTGACGACGGCGCCGCTGGTGGAGAAGTTTGGGTACGGTTGGGGATTTATGGTTTTCGGAGCGATGAGCATGGCGTTGGCGCCGATTAGTGTGGTGGTTTTCAGGTATGGAGAGCGGTGGAGGCAGTTTTGCAAGTACTCTAGGGAGCAGTGAGTGTCCTTGGGCTTGCTAGGAACTCATGGGACGAGGATAGGGAAAGGAGAAATGGACGGCTGATGACATCGATATGAATCTTGGATACGACACGATATTGATATAGATATGGTCATGGACATGATGGGATATGAAAACGAACGGAAGGGATGGAAGGCATGGGATATGGACAAAAGCAAAAAAGCAGAAGGGTTGGGGAAAAGTTTGGGAGTTGGTTTTTTTGTTTATTTTTTGTTTGCATGATATAACGACTGGACTTGGCTACGGTATGACAAAAAGTTGGGATAACGACAAAAGTTGGTGGCGGTGTTCCGGATCAAGATGGGAGGTTGTGTTGCATTGCCATTTGGCATGTCCTTTTCTGGCGTGTAAAAGGAGTTTGGGGTACAAAAGTTGGGGAAGACATCAAAAATTTGTGTAAGTTTCAAAGTCGGTGTCATTTTTTGCAATTTGTTTGCAGGTCTAGATGTGAAAGATGTGTTGGTGGTCCGAGGCAAAGGGCTGGAGTCGGCGTTGGCGGCTTCCGAGATGGTACGGTACCCGCTCTTTCGCTAACAGACGAGCGTGGTTTTTGGCATTATTTCTGTTAGTGCTTTACCAATCCACTCACGACTAGATCGTTCGTTGCTACTCTACTTGGTCCATTGATTTCATTCCCTGACCTGGCTTCCTTCCTAGCTTTTTCGAGAGGAGCAAGTCCCGGTCATTTCGGAGAACAAGTGCAAGCTCCTTACACCCCGCCCAGCCGAAGTTGTCACCCATCGCAGCGGGCGTGTCATCAAAAGGCAGGAATCACCTCCCTTTTGTGTCTGGACTGATCATTGTAAGCTGCCTCATGCCTGCCCGCTGGGCAATTCCGTCCCGAATGTTTGCGTAGCCCACGTCTGGCCAAGGATGGAGAGTAGGTGACTGATAGAAGGTGCGTCCTTTTGTGACTTGGAAGAAGGCTGGCTGTCTGTCGCTTGGACAGAATACTAAGAATCCATCGGATGCAATTCCGGACGGTGTTTCTCCCAATATTACCAGTAAGTCTGTTTTGCCATCTAAGTCACGGTCACTCAACAGCGCTCTTAACCGTTGCCCTCCGACTCCAACGCCAAAGCAGGAGCCTGTCAATCAGGACGTTATGGGTCTTGGGAACATACGAGACAGTCTTGCCGGTCAGGATGCCGGAATCATCCAGCGAGACCTATCCTCGCCCAAATTCTCCTCCATCTTCTTCCGAAACCTCTCTCTCCCTTCCATCAACTCCAGCCTTATCTCCTCGGCCGCTCTCCTCGGCATCAGCGCCTCCGAGTGATCATCACTCAGTTCATCCCATACCATATCCATCAGCTCATTTGGCAGGTGCGGTCTCTTTATTCTAGCTTTGTCTTTCTCTCCGCCCCCAACGTTCTGGATCTCCTGCAACACCCCAATCGGAACCTCAACACCCTGCTCGATCAAAAACCCAGTCAGCTCTTTCGAGACCTTTCCCCAGTCCTTCCCTGCTTGGAACAAGGCATCACCAAACCAATCCCCTCTCTGCGGTGGTACGTTCGCAGTGGAGACGATCCTTTGCTCTGGGTCGACAAGACTCACTTGCACAAAGCTCATCTTCCCGGGTCGAGTTTTAGAAGCGGTGATGCATGGTATTCGGCCAAGCAATCATTCTTCCCTGTTTGATATCCACATGGCCGTAGTTCTGCACTGGAAGCGTCCCCCGGCCAGTGGCATTGTTGTCCTTGACGTTTTCTGACCACTCTGCCCTCTTTGTTTGGGCCCTCCGGCTTGTGGTATTCCATGTAGACTCCTTCGCCAAGGACAAGGACATGTCATAGAGCCGTTCTATAAGGCTTTCCCCCCACGGAGCGTCTTCTTCAAACCAATGGTGGTACTCGGGTAGCGATGGGTGAGTGGGTACGCGGAAGGAGATTGATGGGGTTATCACGTTGTGGGACTCGACGCAGTAGAGAAGAGTGGTGAGAATGCGCTCGTTCAACTGCCCTTCCACTTGCCAGTGGCCTGACGGAAGTGAGGGATTCGATGGCGTTAGGGGGATGGTGACCAACTTGGCTATGGCCTGGAGTCCCGAGGCTTGATATTTCCGGCGGAGGTCGTCGATGGGTTCACCCATGGGGTCGTAACCTCGGACATCGAGGGATTTGGGACACGGCTCATGGAACAAGGGTTCTCAGACTGTGTGCCATTTGGGTTTGGCTAGGGTTTGGGCTTTTGGACTGAGGGCGGTGAAGGCGTCTTTAGCTGGAGGTGGGCGTCTAGTGGTCAGCTTTGTTTGGGTTCTTCATCAATGGTCCAGCAGCGTTTTTGTTCGTGGGACTCACAGGCATCGTTTGGCTCAATCCTCTTTAATTCCCTGTCCACCGCCAACTTATTACCACCAGCAATGATCTCTTCACCATTTCCCGCCACATCCCATGGCACTTTGAGGGCAATCGGACCATCTTCCATTTCAATCTCTTCCAAAACTTGCAAGTTTCCAGCTTCTCCCAAAGCTTGACCGTGATATCATGATTGCCAGTCTCATGAATTTCATGGGTCGTCTCGGGAATCCAGTAGTTCTGGTCTCCAAATCTCGGGCAATTTTTAGACCCATAAAGCACCTTATTCCATGCCGGAAGGGCCGCTTCATTAATCAGTCTTTTGACATTTTGGCAAGGTGGTACCATAGAGGTGCGTTATGTGGTTGTTTGTTTGGTGGTGGAATGGGGAAGAGTCAAGACGTTGAATTGAAGTGCAACCCAGGGGCCCTTTCCCCCCGTTGGTTCCTGTCTGCTTGGCATTGGTACCGAGGTAACCCGATAAACGGGCGTTTGTCGAGCGACATGATTGCACAATCAACCCATCTATCGTACAGCTATGCACAGGACGGGACAAACATGCAGAAAACCGAGAACACACATCAGTCTTGGCAGCGTCTTAGATGGGGCGTCGAGGTTCGATAACAGTTACAGGGCTGGTTAGGTGCATCAGCTGTTAGTGTACTGCATTACGCTAACAAATCTGTTATCTGCCATCAGTGAAAGATCGAATCTCAACATCGTCAGCCAGCAGTTAGGGTATAACCCTATAATCTCCTAACACGTAGAGGTACTCACTGTCGTTTGCGTAGAATCTGTTGGTAGGTTACTATACCGCTAACAATTATGAGGCACGTAATTTGCATCCGGCAGGGACGAAGTCGGTCTGTTTTGGACCAAGATGGGTGGGAGGTCTGCATAGGTTGGCATTCGGCGCTTTCTTTTGCCGTGACCGGAGTTTTGGTGTCAAATCTCGGAAATAGCCAGATGATCTACTACCAGAAGGAGATATCAGTCTGGCTATACTCCTGTAAACCCCAAAGAAGACAGTTTCTTGTGTCGATTAAGATTCCCATAACTCCTAACCTCAGCCCATGCCCCCCAACTTACATAAATACCATATACATCTTGACGTTCGCCACACACCCCTTCGCCATCCTTCGGGTACTAAAACTTCTCACCCTTGACTGGCGGTCTTACCATCGCCCTTTTCCTGTCCTCACCATCTCTCGGCCCATGTATAAAAAACATCAATCGACCCGTCTGGTCATCTACTCCGTATTGCACCCTTGGTATCCTCTTCTTGTCGAACCAGTAGTCAGCCTGATTAAAAGCCCACGCTCTCTTTTCGATATGCTTCACAATCTGATCAGCTGACGCATTGCTGCTGCATCCGGTCAAGATGTTGGCTAGGGTGTGCTGCAAGTGCTGTTGTTGGTGGTAGCCACCACTGTCACTGCCGTTGACAGTCACAGAGCTTTTGCTGCTGTCGCTTTGTGGTGATGTTGGCGTGAGAGTTCCGCTGCTGATTCCCTCGGAACTCAACACCCCATCAGTCTGTCTCATCCAACGCGGAGCACCACCGCCACCACCAACACTACCCCCGCCGCCAAAGAAAGCATTAGCCAGCTCTAACGGGCTCAAACTGACATCTCTCCCCAGCCTCCAGAACCCGGACCCCATTGCTCTATACCACTGCCACATCAGCAGCAAAAACGTAAGTAACGGACCCAGGACACTGACGATGACAGCTATGACCAACTCCCGCTGATGAAGAGCATAATGCGTTCGAACCCCGGTGTCATTATACGACATCCCATACTGTGATATCATGTCCATCAACGCGTCCGCAGAGGACTCGTTGCCCGCCGCTCGCAACCTGTCCACCTCATCCCACTTCTATGCCGCTTCGCGGATGGACAATCGCAACCCCAGCTCACGGTAGGCATTGATGATGTCGTCAAACGGATCGTCAAACGTTCCCCAGCATCCAGCGGATATGTTGGTGCTTGGGGAGCGCGCGTAGAGATAGGGCGTAAGCCCTGTGTTGTGGTTCTGCATGTAGTTCTCGGAAGTTCTGATGAATTCGGATTTGCCCCTCATGAGCTGGCTGCCAAAGACAACGAGTGGATGGATGGTGTTGCAGTCACCCTCCGAGCCGACGTTTTCATTCTTATAGTTTCTGGTGGAGTGGTTAGCAATAGCGCTGCATATAGCGGCAAATTCTTGAACGTGTAGGTGGTGCAGCAACGATAGCGGTGTTTGCAGCGTAGAAAGGAAGGGAATGAAGAAAAAATCTTGAAGGTGAACACATACACCTCCTGAATTAACTTGTCGTCTGTCCAGTTGTTGTAGGCGAAGGTCACTTTCTGGCCGTTCATAAAAAGCTTATACTCTACCGTCGACGGAACCACTTTATACTCGCGGATCACGGTATGGTCGTTACAGGCTTCGGAGGCTTTCCGTAAAACGGTCACGTTCAGCGCCGAGGACCTATCCTCCTCTTCGTGGGCAGCTATTCGAGTAATGGCCACTTCGAAAAAGGTTGCGTTTCGGAATGGGTCGCGTGGGCCTCCGTCGTAATCAGAGGGATCGTCAACGTGGCACTCCGGTATAATGTATCTTCTCTTTCTCTCGGTGCAGTTTCTTACGTTGAATCCGAGTGCCTAGAGTAGGACAGGTAGGAGTGGTACTGGTCAGCAAAAGGACTCGCATAGTGCAGACAGCTCTAGGAGCTCAGACGTACCCATATAATGAGTACTTCCGGGGCTTGGTAATGGCACATCACTTACTTGAACTGTCAGGGTGCAATTGTTACACGGTGGCGCATCAATGAGCATAATCGGCGTCTTCGCTTGAAACTCCTGGACGGCCTGGGCGAAACCAACGCTGAACCTAGAGACCGAGCTATTACCGCGTTCGATCATTGTACCGCCCCAGCTGTCTGTGATGTTCGGCATGATGTGGAGGTTCTTAATCCCCGAGAGTGTTATACTGCTTGTTTCGGTCGATAGCACCTTTTGTAGCAGAGGGCCACGGGCAAGACTACTCGCAGTGACCAAAATGCAGACTGTATTGAGTCAGTTACCGTGCTACATTTGAGGTTGAAATAGTTGAAGAGCAGATGGCGTTGCAATAGCCATGGAGAAGGATAGGGAAACGGTAACCAGATGGAAGCCTTTAGCCTCTAGTGGTAGTGAGTATCAGATACAAGGAAATAGACGAGCTTACCAAAACTAATCGTTACGCCTTTTCTCTTGAATAGAGACTTCAACGCTCCCCAAGCACTTAACCCTTGTGTAAAATAATGCAAATCCGTAATCGGTATTCCGCCGGGTTTCATCACTTCGAGCCAGAACATTGTTATCCCTGCGCCGCTAAAAGCGAACCCCATAATAGTGTTTGCGACTGTCGATGTGAGGGAGAATATTTCGGCCGGCTGTTTCATCCCGGGAAAGGACCAGTCCTTAACGTCATAGCCATTGGCCCCTGAGCAATAATCACTGCGAAAACAGTACCTGTGGTGAGAATCAGTGCCTGTACGTCGTGGAAAAGTACCGTATGACAAAAGAAGACCTCGTGGGAACACTTGCAAGCGATAGTCAAAATGATGAAAATGATGGTTAGCCATGGGAAATGCTTCCAATCGCTCCACTGACGGCGTTTAGAGATGTAGATGCCATTCGTCAACTTCGGATGAGTGGGGTTCTCGAGTTGATCAAGCCATCGATCAATCTTGCGGGGGAAATTGATCCAGTGCAAGAAACCGGAAACACAGCCTCTATCCTGATACCCTTCTGACACGGACGGCAGTGGTGTTGGATTCCAGCCAGCAGGAGGCTGGTGGTGCTGCTGTTGCACATGTGAAGCTCTGCCATGCGCATCTTGAAAGCTAGGAGCATACAGAGGCCAAGGAGTATGGACGGGTGTGCCGTCTTCGAAGTGACCCGAGTTGTCATGGCGTCGTTCTTGAGGACCGTGGGAGACGTAACCTTCCCTTGGTGATTCCATCGTCGGATGCAAGTCCGGTGAATGAATAGAGACTGGAGAGAACGAGTTGTTGAAACGTCTTTTATCCTTCCATAGAGGTAAACGAATGTGCTTGACACTTTGATGTCTTTGACAGAAGGTGAAGTAGACCCGACAGAGAGATGACTGGAGGTAAAGACACGACATATCTTAAAGGACCACAGAGACTTTTCTGATTGAGCCCAACAGATGCCCTCACGAATTCGTGGAGATTGATCAACGTCAAAACATATTGCCAGCACACAAGTGAAACCAATACAGAGCACACTTGCATCTGTAAAGATTCCTTCCCAATTCCAAATTTCAACGGATACAAACATTACTTTCATGAGTGTCTCAACCAACTAAAAATGAGTTGATAGCAAGAGTGGCCAGAATCTGGCGGTGCAGTTGATGAAATGGCGGTATTCCGCCATGTAGAATCCAGCTGCTTCCAAACTTGACTGGAATCTGGTTCATTCTCAGCCCCGGCCAAACCGGCCAACTGGGATAGGTGAGGTGTAATTCCAATGCAGGTTTGTTTATTGCAAGCCGTGAAGAGAGATTGATTACAGGTTTCAAGACAGCAAACAAGCCAGGTGCGGTATCTGGGGAACGTATACCCTGTGCTGCAAACGAGGAATAACGGCGGCGACAGGCGATGGCATGAAAAGTGAATGCATGCGGCTTGATGTCCAACATGGATGACTGAGCACGGGCTACCATGTTGTAGAGGGGTTTGGTGAAGGAATTGATGAGAAGGTGAATGAAGGAGGCAAGGGCGCGAGGCAGACAACGCAACCTTCAAACAGCGGGCAAGACAACTGAGTAGGAAAGATGGCAAACTTTCCAGATTGCCAGAATACCGGAGCTCCTGTCGAGTTGCCGAGGCTGAATCTCAAGTTTCAACCACACCCAAAGGGAAAGAATGTGCAGTGTAGGAGCCAAGAAGGGGAGTAGATGCCAAATGACTTGTTCTATCCCGATCCTGAGGTGTGAAAGGTGCTTCTGCTGAGGAGTTGCCGAGGTGCCAGGGCAACCCGTCTGGTGGTATCTGACAACCAAGTAAAGGGTTCAACAGGAACATTCTCTCCGTCTCCGGGTCACGTCCGAAACCACCTCACGAACTCTTGTGCCCTATGCCGGCATCCGACTTGGTAAATCGAAGGAGGGAAAGAGCATCCATGCCAATGAGCGGTTTCTCAATATGGACACAGAATTTGGAAGTGACGGCTCACTCTTCCTTCTTCCGTTTGTGCATTATCCCCACCCCACAACCATCAGCCAAGAAAGTCCGTCGTGAACCTCGGAATCAAACCGTGGAGCAAAGAAAACCCTCGGCGGAAGCCTTTTGCCTCCTGCGCCAGAACTTGGCGTCGGAAGTAGAAGGGAAAGGGAGTCCATGCCGGCGAACGAGCCCTTCAACCGAATCCTGAGTGGAAGTGACAGTTCTACCTTCCTACCCGTTTGTGCATCTCATCCCCACCAACGAACACGTCAAAAAGCCAAAAAGTCGAGGGCTTCAAGGTCCACCCAAGACAACGAGAGGAAAACTCCCATTGAAAACGAGCCTCGGCTTTCTGCACTAGGACTTGGCCAGTGAGATGGGAAGGCAACGACGCCCATGAAGGAGTCCCTGAACGGGATTCGGAAGTGACCACTCACTCTTTCCTCACATTCTGCCTACCAAGCCCGTCCCCAGCCCACAAACATCCAAAGCCAAGAAAGTCGCGACCTCGATGTCAACTATCGGACGAAAGAACCTCCTCGATATCGAGCCTCTGACTCCGAAGCCGGGACTTGCCGGGACTCGGAGTAGAAGGAAACAGTGTCCATTTCGAGGAGCAATCCCCTTCAATCCTTCCAGGTCAGGTACCATGAATGACCATGACTTCTAGCACTTGGCCACCAGAGAACACCTGGTGCAGCCAGGGGAAACAGAATATCCCAGATGTCCGGTCTCCAGAACACTTGACGGAAACGGCACAAGCAAGCATAAGCCCAACGGGCCGTCGAATAGTAATTGTAACATGGCAATATTAGTGCACCCTTCATGCCTTGCGACTAACAAGCGCGTTGGCCATGTCTTGGCGAGCGAACCAACTACACCACACCGGCACACCAGCTAGCAGCTATAAACGACCAACAAATTGTTTTGGCTTGCTTGGAGACACAAGCGGGTATGCAGGAGGTCTCGACTTTGTAAGCCGGCACCATCGGGGACCTTGGGGCTTAGATCAGAGTCGTCAGATCCAGATCTGATATATGTAACACCGCCCCTGACGGCACCAGGGAAGACCCGTGGAGTCGGGATACGTAGTCCAGGGACGGAGAGTCGGACACAAGCTCTGATACCGATGGATGCCCAATGGAAGTTTCAGGTATTGCGGTGTTCCGTCTCAACCCAACGACTGCCGTTCCGGGGCCACCCCGGGCTTTTGTTTGTAATCTGCCATCTTCCGTGTTTCGTTCGTCTGGAGTTTCTTGGGGTTGCTTGGCTGCTTGGCCCGTTGTAGGCGAGGGACGCTGAAATTACGCTGTTGCTTCTAGGCTTTTGAAAGGATACCCAAGGTCTCAAATACCCTGGGACAGAGTTTGTTAGCTCAGGAGGAGGGCGCTGATCAATCGGGCGACATGGACGAATCGAATCATTTCCTAGCTGGTGGTGTTTGGGTCGTGGTTTGGACAGGGACTGGTCGCCGTCGTTGAAGTGGTGTTGCTGGAGGAGGAGAAGGTCTTCTTGCACAGCTGCCTCTCAGAAACACAAGCCATCATCGGGTTTAGTCGACTGCGCCGGCAGTTTTATGCGCGACCGTTAGCAAAATTCAAATAGTCTGCGATCCAAGTTGGCGGCCCCGTTGTTGGATGGCGGGAAAAAGTTGATGTGCTGGACGGGAATCCAGGTGATGAAAAGATGCGGGGCTTCTTCTGGCTGCAAGTGGTCGATCCGTGACCTGGAGTTCTGGGCGGCCAGCGGTGAGTGGGCGCCGAGGTCCCTAGAACCGCTAGAAGGCCTGTTAGCTTGGAGGGATGACCCCACCACAGACGCACCCCAAATTGTTCCTGCCGTTCAATGACGCACTTCCATTTGAACCGGCAAGGCACCGGATCCGAATGAAAAATACACTAACAATTACGAGCAAGATCAATATCAAGACGGACTCCTGCTCTTGTCCAATCCATCCCATTGCCATCTCCTTTTCATCTGTTTTCCATCTAAAGACATCAGTCAGCACCCTACCATTGCCCCAGAAAGCAATTGGGCTTACACGACTCGTACCCGCCTTGTTATCTCCGAGTGACGACTCCACTCGCAAGTCACTGCCCCTGCAGAAAGTTGCGACGAAGAAAATCCACAAAAACTTGGAGAAAGTCACCTCACCGTCTGATCTTTTCGCCTTTTTCCTTTTTCCCAAGTTCAACACACACAAGTCGCGGCTAGTCAAGTCTACAGTCGCTCGCCATGGCAGAAGAACAGGATGCCAACGACCCGAGGCGGCGACAGACAACACGCAACTACTCCAATCCCGATTCCCCCAATTCGATAGAAGATGGCTTTGCGACAGCCACCACCGTCACTTCGCAACAACAGCAACAACACCAGCAACAACACCAGCAACAAAAAGAAGACCAGACGAAAAACTATAGTACCGGGCCACCAACTCCAACACTACCGCCACCACCACGAGTAGACGACGATGATGATGGCCTCACCACCGATAGCGACAGCGACACCGAGGACTACACACGTACCCGCTCCAACGTATCAAATGCCGCCCCGAACCCGGTACCACAAAAGCCAAAGAAGCCCGGCAAGCTGGCCGCCATAGCTGCCAAGCTGGGCCTCGATGTGCCCACAGTCCTCATGATGTTCAAGTATGTCACTCCCAAATCAGACACCAATTGCTAGCAGACAAGTCACTGACCACTCGGCCAAAAACACAGAGGCTCTCTTCCCCCAACCATCGGCATCGCCATGTGCCAAGCCCACCCCATCGCCATGTACTTCGGCACCGTGGGCTACCTCGTCCCCATCATCTCCGTCCTCGCCATTGCCATCCTCCCCCGTGGAAAGTTCCTCATGAACACGGTCCTCAACCTTTTGGCCATCTGCTTCGGCTCTGCCGTATCCATGCTCGCCCTTTTTTCCGCCGTCAAAGCTCGCGAACATACCACTCCCGCCGACGCCCCAGTTTCGCCATACCCGACCTACAACTCGAGCCAGTCCGCCGTCTGTGCCGTCTGGCTGTTCTTCAACATCTGGCTGGGAAATGTGGTTAGAGCCAAGATGCCGGCCTTCAACCTACCCATCATCCTCTACAGTATCCTGGTCAACATCGCCGCCACTTTCGGCCCCATCATGACCACCATGACCGCCGCCAAGAACTTTGTCCAGCAGCTGCTGACAGCCATGTTGCTCGCTATGGCTATTGCCCTGGCTGTCAACCTCATCATCTTCCCTGTCAGCAGCCGTCTGGTCGTCTTCAAGGAGTTCGCTGGTGCCATGGGCCTGTTGAGAAAGACGTCTGCCCTGCAAAAGGCCTACATGCGCAGTCTCGAGTCAGAGGATATGTTCGCTCCAGCTACGAGAACCGATACCTGGGCCAGGAAGGAGGCCAAGAAGGCGAAAAAGGCGAATAGGAAGCCGAGAATCACCAAGGAGGCCAAGGCTGCGAAGGCGTTGAGCGAGACGGCTGCTGCCCTAAGAGAACTTTCTGGAAAGCTACATGCGGATATGGCGTTTGCCAAGAGAGATATTGCCTGGGGCAGGTTGGACGCCAAGGACTTGGGTCATATGTTTGCTCTGCTAAGGAACGTGTACATCCCTGTTCTGGGAATGACTACCATCATCGACATTTTCAAGCGGGTTTCCGAGACTCAGGGGTGGTACACGGAAGAAGACACGCCACCCGAGGTGGTAGCTGAGAAGGAGATCGAAAAGCGGGTATGGAACGAAGTCATGAAGCAGATGCACGAACCCTTCGAAATCCTCTCCGAAGCCATCGACAAAGGTCTACAACACGCTGCCCTTCAGTTAGATCTCACCCCGCGCCCCAAGAAATCCAAGACCGCCGATGTGGAGGAAAAGGCCGGTAAACCCCTCGAGCCTGGCGATTTGGGATATGCTCAGGTCATCCATGAGAAGGTTACCGCCTTCTATGCCAAAAAGGGCGAACTTCTGAAGATTTGGGTCAAAGAGAAGGGTCTCATCTACGACGAAGAAGGGTTCTCCGCCCAGGACCAGGTCCCACTCGAGCGCCAAAAGCGTGACCAAGCCCAGCTCAACATTCTGCTCTACATGGAGAACCTGATGCACGCCTCTGGCAACGCCGTTTACGAATTCGCTGCCTATGCCGATTCCAAGGTGGAAGATGGGACCATGTCCCGGAAGCGGCTGATCATGCCGGGTTTCAGACGACTGGAGAAGTGGTTCCTTGCGGTTTTGCGCAACGAAGACTCGACAGCCGAAGGATCGCCTGACCTCTCAGAAAGCAGCAACACTATTGTTTCATTCGGCGACGGGTTCAACAACAGGAAAAAGGATCCCGAGCATCTACCACCCGCTACAGCATGGGAACGCTTCGGTAACCGCTTGCGCAAGATCTCAAAGTTCTTTGGATCCGAAGAATCCGCCTTTGGCTTCCGTGTCGCCTGCGCCACCATGTCCATTGGTATCGTCGCTTACCTCAAAGACACCCAAGCGTTCTTCAGAGAACAACGTCTCGTCTGGGCTATGATTATGGTAGCCATCGGCATGACCATGACTTCTGGGCAATCCTTGTTTGGCTTCATCTGCCGTACTTGTGGTACTGTGGTAGCTATGGTGTTGTCGCTGATCGTGTGGTATATCGTTGATGGGCATACGCCGGGTGTTATTGTCTTTTTGTGGTTGAGCGTGTTCTTGTGCTATTACTTCTTTTTGAAGTATCCGAGGTTCATTCCGGCGGTTATGATCACCATTGTGACGCAGGTCATGATTGTTGGGTATGAGCTGCAAGTCGAGAAGATTGGCAAGGCGGCAGCAGAGAGAACGGGGCAGCCTGTTTACGAGTGAGTAGTCTTCTCTTTCCTGTATTTGTTTGAGGCACCACTAACATTTTGCAGAATCTACCTTCTAGGCCCCTACCGTCTGGCTTGCGTTGCTGGCGGCTGTCTTGTCGCCTTCATCTGGACCATCTTCCCCTCCCCTCTTACCGACCGGACCTGGCTCCGTCGCGACCTCTCAGCAACCCTCTACCTCGTTGCCAATTACTCGTCCATCATCAACTCCACCCTTCAAACCAAGCTTTCCGAGCAAGCAGGCGATGTCAACATGAAGGGAACACCTGCTCACCAACTCTTCAAATTCCGATCCAAGATCTTCGGCAAGCTGATGATGCTCATTCCCTCCATGTCTCAGCACTCGGAGTGGCAGAAGTGGGAGCCCACCATCGGTGGCAGGTTTCCCAGGGAGGTGTACGATGAGATCATCCTCAGGAGCAATCGCATTGTCGCCTACTTGACACTTATGAGCTACACGATTACCAACCCGATCCACGCCCCCACCAGGATCAAGCCATACGCTTCGACAAACCAGATTGCCAGCCCCCGCGCATCGTCAGTGGCCGTGTACCCGAAATGGGATAACCAAGTGGCCGAGTTAGTAATGACTTTGGAGCCTACACATCACACGATCTTGTCGACCTTGACTCTGCTCTCCAACTCCTTGCTCTCCGGCCAATCCCTCCCACCATTCATGCCGCTTCCGCGCCCGTACGAGATAACTCGCCGCCTAATTCGCCTAGGAACAGCCAGTCCGCTACGCAGCCACCCGGCAAGCCCGTACAACTCTGGTGACGAATCCGAATCCGATTTCGACGACGATCTCTACGACAGGCCCGAGCCATTTAAGTTCATGGACTCCCGCTCGGGCGAAGACGACTACGAGCACGTCAAGCACGAAATCAGCCACCTCTCTCACTTGCAGCATGATTCTCGTAATAACCGCCACTCCCTTTCCAATGTTCAGGAGAATGTCAATGCTAGCGGCGTCTCCCCTACCCAATCACCTACACACTCCCCTAGCGTCGGCTCGGCCCACCTCGCCTTTTCTTTCCCTCCTGGCCTCCAGGCCCATAGTCCTACTCACAGCCGCAACCCATCGTTCTCTCGACCAAGAGCGTTTTCGCCTCCTCACTCTCGCGCTCACTCGCGCGCTCCATCGCGTGCGCACTCAAGGGCTCACAGCCGAGCGAGATCAGTACAGCAGACTAACCAGAACTTGCTGGAAGGTCTGTTGCAAGATGAGCCGGGCTACGCGGAGTTTGCGGTGTTACAAGTGTGCACAGGTCTCGTCTGCGATGACTTGGAGGGGCTTGTGAAGGCGATGATTAGCCTTGTGGGAGTAGTCGATTTCAGTTTCCGCGTGGATAAAAGTGAGGAGGATGTACATTTGGGGAGGAGGGCCAGTTTGGCGAGGAAGGTGAAGAGGATGGGGACAATTGGACGGGGGAAGGGGAAAGAGAAGGAGAAGGCGAAGGCGCATTGAGGGAATGATGGGGATGGGCATGGGTAATGGGGGGGAAGAGAGGGAGGTAATGGACGGTGAAAGAGGGGGGAAGGAGAGTATTAATACCCAAGCGAGTCACTGATTTAGTATTTTAGTGTGACTGCGCTCGACGTTTGAGACAGATGGAAGCTTTTTGGCTTTTGGCGTTTGTGCTTTTTAGCAGTTCAAGCATGTTTACGAGGAGCAGAGGATCCAGTCATTCATGTCCATCATCGATTGATGTCTAGCACGTTTAGCATGTTTAGCATGTTCAGCATTTTTTGCCATGTTGTTTGGGATCTGATGCCTTGACTTCAAAATTCTTTGTTATATAATCACCTCTAGGTAGCCACGCAGATAAGAGATAAGAGATAAGAAGAGAAGAAGAGAAGAATCTAATGTCACGAGATATTCGTACTCTACTCAAGAACAAGAGATCAGAAGGTGCCCGTTCCAACTTCCAACCCTTTCGAGGTGGACTGTAGAATCGGACTGTGGAATCGGGTGGCAAACTCGTGTTACTCCAACACGGCCCGGGCCGTTCCATTCCATCCGACATGTTACAAGTAAGGTAGATTTAGGTACCTCTAGTGTAAATGCGGAAGTGGAGGCCGGAGGCTAAGATGGAGGGAGGTCCAAGTCGAATAAGTTTCGTGCTGTCCTTGTCAAATTGTATCATCTCATTTTACCATAGCTGGCTGGGGCTTGCGATACGGTTCAGTAGGGTGCTGGTTTATTTGTGTGTGTGTTTGTTCGGTTAGCTCGCGAGTCGAGAGACCCGCTGGTTAGGTAATCTTGTTGGAAGTCCATGCCCTGGGCACTCTCAGGTATTTAGGCTGCCCTGGTTTCCGTTTCTCCTCTTCCGCAAAACAACAACAATCAAGCCCTTTTTCCTTGTCGCCTTTTCCAGCCCACCGACAAATACGTCATCTTGACGACAGTGGAAGGTTACTAGAATTTACAAAATTCCTATAAATTTGCCTATCCTCCCAGACGCTTCTGGTGGCATGGTAGAAAAAAAGAAATGGAGAGAAAGTAGTTGGGAGAGACTTAGAATACATTATATGTCTCGCGAGAAACTGATAATTGAAATCTGTCCGGTTGCGCTGCCAATGAATATTATCCGCTCTTGGAAGACGGAGCAAGAGGTTCGGCGTTCTGGTGGCAACCAGAGTACATTCTGGCCGTTGCAAGTAATCCAAGACCCATTTGATCCTAAGTTATAGCCATGTCTCTCTGGATTATCGAGCACAATTCGGCTTTCGGCAGTCATTGTAGCTATATCAATACGTCCAACGTTGGTAAGTAAATAACGGTTAGTATGGTCAAACGATATGTGCTCTACTATAGTGCCGATATTAATCGTTTGGACGCAGCTCTCCGACGCCGCATCCCAGATCTTGATCGTATCATCCCTCGCACCGGATGCGAGCCGCTGGCCATCGGGCGAAAATGCTACTGACTGAACCGCATCGCTATGGCCTTCCAAGGTTTGGAGGCATGCATTCCAATCTGATTCTATAGCCGGCTTACTTCGAATCCAGTCAGGTTCTTCTGCTTTGAAATTGCTCTTTATTAAGCTGCTGGACGGAGCAAATACGAGCGCTGATATATAAGCTTGAAGCGGAGCTTGCTCAATTATCCCTCTATAAGCAAGAATAAATCGGTGAGCATCCCGAACAAGTTTTGTTAACTGCCACTGATCATTGCCTCCCTATATCTTTAAGTTAGATCGAGTTTCCGGTGCGCAATTAGTCTCATACTTAGTAGTAGGCTCTCGAGCTGTCTAATGGCGTTGACGCCCTCAGACACAGCTTGGAGTAGACTTAAAGCTTCGAGCCAGTAAAGGTACTTCGTCTTGAGGAATGCATAGACAACCCCGTTGTCCTGTAAAAGATCATTCCGGTTTGTGTTCGTACTAGAAACCAAGGACAGTTCTCCCAGGAGCCTGGAGTTGTCGCTGTTCATGGAGCAGAGATGGTCGACCCAGAAGACACAAGAGTATCGTATTGGAGCCAGTGGATCTGGATCAGGGGGCGTCATATTCTCCGGTTTGAAGCCTAGGTCAAGATTGTACATGTTGCGTCTTAGTATTAAGAACATCGCATCAGTCGAGCGTCTAGCAATCTCGCTATGCCCTTGGGTGGGCCCAGCTTGCCGAAGTCGAGACTCGTAATTCTTCTCCAGGTAATCCTTCGCCGACTGGTGGATCAAGTTGACTGTTCCCTTGGTAATTGTAAGAAATGAGCCGCACATCTCGATAGCCGTCTTTGCAACGTCCAATTGCAAGTCGGCAAGTACGGAAAGCTCTGAAATAGAGAGCGGCCGGAAGGCAAGAGACGCAATCACCAAGACTGTCTTGCAGTCCTGGGGTTCGATCACTCGCCCCGTTTCAATCCTAGTCATCATATGATCGTACAACTCCGATAAGCCAGGAGGCATCTCTTTAATGCGCTTGACAGCGTACCCTCGATGTACTGTCTCGAGTACTTTGAACGCGAGGGCCACCCACAGAAAGGTGTTCTCTGCTCGTTTGCGGACTTCGTGCGACACCTCAGCCAAAATTCTGTCACTGTATCCTTTCTTGCACTTGAGGATTGTAAGCTTATGGTCGATGTATGCGTTGACAGGTGTTGCCGGACGTTGCGCATCCAGCTCGACAAAGGTCTCTGAAATGTTCGACGAATCGATGCCGAGACCCTTAAGCTCCGCGAGAACATCAACTTCCGGACTGCTAGAGAGCAGCCATCTCACCTTCTGGGAAAGGTTGAGGGAAGTCAAAATGAGATGAATGAGGTCTGGCCGCCCCTGTGCGCACTCATCCAGTGCATCGACCGTGAGGTACACAGGCGACAACCGAGGATCCTTCAACATATTCCGGAACGCCTCGGATAGAGCGATGAAGGAATTTTTGTCCTTGAAGAGATCGGCGCCTGAATTTTTGTACTTCTGAAGCAGATGCGATATGAGATGTGGCTGCTGAAGAAGGAGAAGCCAGATCAAAGGCCGGAGGACGGCCGTGGCGTTGTTCAGAGCTGTATCTGTGCCTTGGCAGAAGAAGAAGGAAACCGCTGGCGCCAGAGCGACCGGTTGATGAGCGAGTTGGCGGATGAGGCCAATCATGAGCATCGTCTTTCCCATGCCGGCGTGTCCTTTTATCCAGAGCAGCCGACTTGGCGGACAATCAAATCCGCTGTCGTCCCAGTTTGTGAAAGCCGCGTACTCCGAGGTGCGAAGGATCCACTTGTACGCGTCGTCGAGCAGCTCGTCCTTGCTCTTCTCAATCCGCTGCATGTCGTCTTGTGGGTCAACGACGTGTAGATCTCTTAGGCACGCCGACTCGATATCCTCCTTACGGGCGTCTTTCTGTAGCGAAATGAAGTCCCGAATGTCCTGATGGATGTCGCCAAGTCGCTTCTCCATTCCCTGAGCATGCTTGACGAGCTCCCCTAAAGAAGACTTTGTATGTTCTTGGAAATACTGGGTAGCGTCGTTCTGAACGGCGGCCTCCGCGTCGGTGACGAGCTTTAGATCGCCATCCCAGTCATCTAAACTCAGTATACCGCGAAGGAAGACAAGACCTTGGTTGCGATAGTAGGAACAAACGCTCTTCATCTGGTATAGGAGAAGAGCTTTGTAGAGCTCAGTAACCCTCCCCTCCAGCTGGTGCAAGACTACCTGGAAGTCGTTGCCGGTGGAAATGTTGTTTCGAAGCTGATCATGGCGCTTCTGGTGGCAGACCCAAATGCATGACTAACCGCCCGGATAGTCGTCCAATCATGACAGGCCGGGAGTCCATGTCGATGATGGGAGGAAAATGGAGAAGATGGAGGAATGTTACGAACTTAAGAGAACACAC